GGTCCCGTCGGCACTGCATTCGAGATGGACGAGTTTGACGATGGATTAAGAAAGTAACTATATTTCATGGTGAGCGAATTTGTCTAGACTGGTAGATAATCGGGCAATCAGGATCGAATGGCCACTACATGCTATTCTATTAAGACAACAAACGATAGCCTACGACGGACACTCGCTGCCGACATCTGTATGTTCTGGATGTCGGAGCTGGGCATGGTCCGGGTCTCTCGGGCTGAAGCCCAACCTCCAACTGGCCCAGTGGGATGAACAGGGTCAAGGCTCCATTTCCCAGCCCGGTTCAGCCCCATCGATCGTCTCTGGCCAGTGAGGTTGCCCAGTGTGCCTTCACATAATACTAATCATTCAAGTTCTAACCAGGGTGTATACCCATCCTCCTTTGTAACAAGTGGACCGCATACTATCCATCACCTGTCGTATCGCTTCGCCATGTCCTGCCCTACAGCACGGCCCATCACTCTCCTCCCCATAACCGAGTCCCGCAACCCACCGTGAGAAGCACGGAGTACGCCGTACTGTACATGCCTAAGACCCTGTGGCTTCGGCACGAACGGGCTGGACTAGGGCAGGGTAGTCGGGCACACGACGTAGTCAACCGAGCCGGGGGCCTCTTTCTGACCTCAGCCCGGCCACTGGCATGAGGAATGCAGAGGTACAGTACATACGATGTACTTAGCTACTGTAGATACCCACACTGCTGTAGTACTGTAATTGACTCCAGCACTCGGTCTATCGTTAAACTACTGTATGTCGATCGGTCCCTGAAAAACGCCCCCGTCTAAGGTGGGAATGCACATATGGATCCCAGCATGGCATTTGGCATTGGCATGCGTGTTTTGCCTCGACGAGAGAAACTGAGACGGACGGGAAGGGGAATGGCGACTTGGCCCTGGACGCAAGGGCGGACAGCCGGATACATACGGCATTTTCTGCAATAAATGCGGCGCCTCCGTGTCAGACACGTGGAGTTAGGCGAAATTAGCCTCGCGGTTGTTTTGTGGTGATGTTTAGGATTGTGAGCTATGTACTCCGTACCTCTAACGTGTATCGTGGCAGCTTGGAGTATACCTCGTACTTCTGGATAGTATACTGATCTAATGAAGGAATAGTTCCACGACGAGTGTTTTTATGTAGATGCACATTACAACTGGACAATCGTGTTCCTACACCACGAACAACAAGTATCGTCCTCGGGAGGAAGCATATTTATTGCATGTTATATGCATATCCCCCCAAGCCCCGAGAGCACCGCAGTTGCATAGCATACCACAAAAAATCTGCTCATTCTAATCTCCAACCGACAATGCCCCAAACCAATATCCAACCTCTAACATTAACACCCTCGGAAGCGAGAATTGGGACTAACCGTCGGAGAGAAGTTTAGGAATGTACCGAGTAATGCGAACGCGAAACGCTCATCTCCGCGCGGCTCATTGGTCGAGGTCCCACCCGAGATTGGGAGGGATCCAATATTAATCTAAGTATACTCGGAGCTTCCAATCAGACTTCTATCCATACTTAGGAGTAAAATTGTGATATGTACGGGAGTACATATTGTGCTATGAGTTCATATCCTACTGTAATTGCCTATTGCCTTTTTGATACAGTGTGTTATTAGGTTTGAAACCATCCTATTTCCTCGGTGATCTACAGTTCACGGGTTATGCTTCTGCCGTTCATGCTGGATCCGGGCGCTACTGTACGGTAAGTTCGGCGATCTGCCAGTTTTCAGGCGACGATCCAAATAAGTTGGGATCCCCCAGCGCGTCTATCGGGATGGCTGGCATGTTAGGTTTGGAGTTGCCGTTGGTTGAGATTTGTGGTAAATAGGCTATGCCGTGCCGTACGCCTCGTACATGTCGTCGTTGCACATATAGTATAGCTGCCTGACTAGCGACTAACGAACCTAGAAATGAATTTTTGAGTCGAGTTCTTGTATTTGGCTATTCAGTTAATCGTACAATACATTTCGGCTAACACAGTTATAAATTTAAAGTAAACCCTCCATCTGATCCAAATGGCGGGTACATTAATGTTCCACCATTAAACGAGCGTCTACACCCACAAACGACGATTCCACTTTGCATACTGTACAATATACCCAATTTTTGCCAAGGTAAAAAGAAGCGGACTCCCAGTAGTCCGCAAATGCAATCCAACAAGGGCCAGTCCAGTGGCAGGACCGAAAAAGACAAACCTCGGGAGTGGACCGTTACCCACAATCAATTTCAAGGAAACGAGCAACCAGAGCCCGCACTTCGTTTCCCTGTGGGGACTCGACTGGAGTACAGTAACAGTTGGAACTACCATAGTTAGAATTTCTGAATTGGTTCGAGTCCACTCCCATTTCTTAACCAACTACAGTACAGAATATACGAATAATAAGAACCCCTCCAATTCACGGCCGAGTCAGTTCGGGCCGCGGGGCGTGATTCAACGTTGATAGTTTTTGATGTACAGTACGGCGTCAAGTATAATTTACACTTTACCTTTTACGAGGGGCGCGGGGTGGATGGGGGGGTCCGTGAGTTTTTGGGGATGAAGGAGGGGGAAAGATATACCCAGGTCGCACTACTAGAGTACAATAAGAATTCAACAATCGAGCTCATAATACAGAACGGGGCCCGGAGTACAAAGTACAGAGTCCAGAATACTATATACCGTATAGTACTCCTCATATTAGTCCTACCCTAACCATCTCCCCTCCAAAAGCACCATCATCCCAACCACAAAGCCAAGCAGTATCTGACTCGCGTTACACCCCCTCCCCCCCCATTAATCAAATCATTAGCCTCGGAGATACTAGACTTAAACTCCTACTTACACTTACTTACACTTACACTTACACCTACAGTAGCGGGTTTGTACGGGATACTTCACTACATTAGGAGTAGCGGCTTCGCCCCCCTCCAAAAGGCGCCAATGCAGGTCGACAAACCCGGGTAAAATGACTGGGCCAGACTGTGAGGATGATGTCAGGGCCGCAGGTATCCCCCCCCGACTGACTATCAGATTTACTTTCGGGATTTTGAGGGGACTGGGGTTGTTGTGCGCGGGGGTGGCTTCGGGGTTTGTGTGGTGGTGATGATGATGTTTTGAGGGGAAGAGGAGAAGGAGGAGGGGTGGGGCAGTGAGTATACGATCATACTATCATACTTTCACGCTATATGGGGAAGATTGGGCAGGAAGTGAGGTATTTTATTTCATGAATTTGATAGGTTTGTGAGAATATCTTCTGGTCGAGCAAGATGTTCATACTACATAGTAGCCCGTGCATGGTAAATGTGATGAGCTTAAGCAGTCAGCTCAAGCAGTCAATATTAACCCGGGTCACTTATAGCCTAGAGGGACTACAGCAATCATGTTTTGTCACCTCTTTCGACACCTCTTATAGAATGATGTATGTCAGGAGTAAAGAAACAAAAAGTCAATCAAAGCTGCACGTATTAGTCTTAGCAGACTTTAACGAGGTCGACTAAAATATCTTCTTAGCCTACCTAAAATTTCGCTTGTGTAAAAGCGCATTTCTATGTAACGAACAATCTAATTAACTACCTCCTCTGAAAATCAATCAACCCTCTCTATACTACATGTTGTATGCACTATAAGCAGGTCGGCCATACCCCATTAAGCGCCCTGCACATCGATAATTAGCAGTGACCGAGAAAAAAAAAAAACTAGAGTTTCCCAACCCGAAAACAAACACATTATCACAGCCACTATGATAACTGTGTGTATTATTGCCCTTTCAGATTTCTACAAGACACCGAAACAGAACCAAAGCATGCTTTATGTACGTATTGTAATTAGGGTTTAGTGTTGGTGGGTGACAGTGGGCTATGCAGTGACGAACCACGATAGGACCGTTTGCTCTAGTTTTGCTGGACCTTGATGATGTCCAGCAACACTGTGGTAATCCCCTACTAAGGCATCCTTCCCTACAATGTACCTTTTGCTTTTTGACACGTGCTTCTAGTAAAATATCGATTATTGCTGTAGTGTGGGTTAGGTGATATAGAGAGTTGGGTACTGCATGTAGGAAAGAATGAGTGTGACAAGATTCTTGAATACGGACGAGTTATATTCAACAAGGTTACAAGCCAATGTCAGAATCTTCGTACACTAACCATCAACGCTAAAATAGCAGGGCTTATTGATTGTGTGGCTCTTGATTTGGATCTAAAAGACTAGCCAAAACTTACCAAACGAGCTCGAGTCCATCCTGGTAGCAATTATCACTCGAAGATTCACAAAACACAAATCGACTACTCTACTAGCCTACTTATACACTCGGCAACGAAGAAGACATACAACATGCAAAGCGCTGCAATTAAGATTCAAAGACTGTTTTACATTGGTCCGTCTATGATGCGAAACATAACCAGAGATCTCTCCAGACGCAACCCATGCACCTCCAACCCCCAACTTCACAGAAAACCTCTCGCAATCCCACAGGCCACACGAGAAACACCAAAGCCTCGAATGGAAAAGGATAGATGAAAAACGTAAAGACGAAACCCCGACCAGTCACGAGAGAAAACAAGACACGCAAGACCACGGACCAAGACAGAAAGCCGGAGAAATACGAGCATCAGATATTGGCGGAGACGGGAGAAGAAAGGAAGAGAGAAGATCAGAGGTAGAAGATAAACGAGACGGAAGGGAAAAGAAACCATTGGCAGAGAAAAAAAACACACAGCGATGTGAATCTATACAGGTCATGCGGGACTCTCCATGGCGCCAAACAAATGCCGCCTACTCCAGCAACCCGGATTCAGATGGGGATATACCGATGGAGATGGAATTGACGTGCCATATCAATCCAGACATTGGGGGGAAAGGGGGAGGGGAAAGAACTACTAAAACAGAGAGGTCGAAAGGGTGATTAACTCGAGAGACACTGGAAGGATGTATGCATCTGGACCTCGAGAGGTTTTGAGGAGGGAATCTCGGACGGAAAGAGGGAGAAAGGTTCAAGAAGCTTAGAAGGGAGGAGGAACCATGTTGGGATCGGCCTTCTCCTGCTGCTCCATGAGCTCCTCACCGGCAATCTCGAGGGAGACGGCGAGGCCGACCTTGGCCGTTTGCTATAAGAAACAAGAAAATCAGTATCAAATCATAGTAGAAGAGGGTGAAAGAGAGGAATGATCATACCTTAGCCTGGTCAATCTCACCAGCAAAGGTCAGGGAGATGGGCATGGCAATGCGCTTCTCCAAAAGACAGCTGACCTTACCAGCGCTGTCAACCTGGGCGCGGAAGGAAGAAGCACGGAAGTCGTACTTGGCACCAATGGCAGTGGTACCCTCACGGCTGGGACCACCCATCATCATAGCAGCAGCGTTGGGAGCGAACTGGAGGTTCATGTCAACACCAGCCTCAACACGCTCGGACAGCTTGCGCCAGTAGGTGGCGGCGAAGGTGCCCTGAGCCTGCAGCTGAGCGGTACCGATCCAGTCCTCACCCTTGTACTTGGCGCAGTAGGACAGAGCAGTCTCGGGGCGGGTGTTCAGACCCTGACGCTGCCAGATAGCCTCGAAACCAAGGGCGAGGCCGGGGGTGACGGACTGGAGGTAGCTACCAACGAAGATACCGGTGAGGCCGCCCTCGAGGAAGGACGGGTTGAAAGCCTTGAGAGATGCGGAGAAGTCCTTGCCAGTGTAGTCGTTGTCAATCTGCATGAGACCCTGGGTGGCACCGGGCATAATTTGGGCGTTGGTCTTAGTGACGAGGGCCGGGGTCCAGCGCCAGTTGTAGACGGCGGAGAGGGTACCGTCACTTCCGAGGTTGCCTTGCATGAAGACCTATAGAAAGGAGGAGTTCCATCAGTAATTGAAATCAGGGAGGAGGGTAGGATCTCTTCGTATGTGAAGGGAGTTTAAGAAAATAGAGCTTGTTCTTACCTTGGGGCTACCGTACATGGAAGAGAAAGCGTACGGAGGCAGGTTGCCTGAGGAGCCCATTGAGAAGGCGTGGGACACGCGGAACAGAGGAGACATGCCGAAGACCTTGGTCAGGTCTGCCCGGAGGCCTGTGAACATGAAGTTGGACAGCAGAACCTCCTTCTGCACCTCGCGCGCGATGTTATCCACGGTGCCGGGGTTGGGCAGGTTGAGCAGGGCCCGGCGCTCAGAGAACGAGGTGTAAAGATCGTTCACGATCGCCATGGCGGGATTGTCCGTGAGCATGGACAGAGATGATGTGAGATCGGCCATTTTGAAGGATAGGAGGGTTGGATTATAGAAGATGTCGTCACGCGATGCCGGTCAACGGGGGTTTTTTCGTTGCGAGGTTAGAAGGAGGACAATGGGTAAGGAGGATGGAGGCCAGCCCGGTATATCTGGGACGAGTAAACGACTCAGATGATGGAGAGGGTGGAAAAAGGGCTGTATCTGATTATCCCGGAGGAGTCGGGGGAGTGAGTATTGAGGGATTCGAAGGGAAGCGGAGCTGGAAGACTTTCGGATTGAAAAATGCCAGTTGCGTAGCGTCTTTGGTCGCTGCCGGTTGCCGGGCCTTAGGTAAGCACGCCGGGGATTCTCGGACGAGCCTGTACATAGTGCCTGACGATGAAAATTGATATTCTAAGAGATTCAACAGGGAAACTAAAGATATAAACACCACCGAAAACAGCTAGAAGCTTGGTGTTTATTGAGAATCGATTCCCAACTCGTGTTAGTGAGTTTGAGGCGTCCTGTATAGATCTGGACTGGCTCTTTGAGCTGAGGATCCACCCGATATCTACTTATCGCGTATACCGCCCATGCCGCCTTCCCTCTCCCTTCATCCTTCCAACTTTCTTTTCATCGAAGATTTCGCCATCGGGCGTAGGCGATTGAATTGTTACTTTAACTTCTTGCTCGACTGCTTCAGAGTGCAGCTTCGCGCGCAGTTACCTGAGTGATTTTTTCGGGAAGAGGACCTTGCCCGTCATTTCTTGCCCGCCCCGCCATCATGGATACCTTACTGTAAGTCAACCCCCTAGCTTGATACTCGCTGTATAGCTGTATAAAGATATTCTGTCACAGTTATACAAGCAGTACATATATGGTTTCTTGGATATCCTGCCTTGGGACCAAGTTTGCCAGAAAGTATAGAGCTTCTCTCCCTGGAATCAAAGCTGACGTCAGTAACAGTACGGCAGATATCGTGGCCAACTCGCCGCAGTTCCGGCGGAAATCTTCAATTTTCGTCGATGCGATCCACGACCTACCGGAAAAGGCCGATCTGGCTCCAGCTCAGCTGTATAGCACGGAATCCGGTCGGCTGTTCCACTCCGGTCGCATTGTGATCATCACCGTGGGGCTGCCTGCGAGAGGAAAGACGTAGGCTTGACCCGATTGTGCTATGACAGTTTATGCAACATACTAATAAGCTTGAACCGTGATAGGCACATGTCTGTGGCCTTGGCTCGCTACCTACGATGGTATGTCTCGCTGTCGGAAATCTAGAAAGCTTCCGTAGCTTTTGTTGCTAGTATCGAGTTGACAATTTGGCCAGGCTTGGTGTCAAAACCAGAATTTTCCATCTCGGTGACTATCGACGGGCTACTATTCCCTTTGGTGAGGACATGCCTGATGACTATTTCTATGTGAATGGTGAGCGTGCCACAGCCAGACATCGCCCGGAATCGCAATATTAATGTAGCATACAGCATCGGCATCATCTGTCCTGCTTCGCCAGAAAATTGTACGAAAGTGTCGTGAGGATATCTACCGCTTCTTGAGTCATGAGAACGGTCAGATTGCAATCTATGATGCGGTTAACCCACTGGCTTCCGGGCGGCGCTCACTTGCCAAAGAGTTTGCAAAGCATGATATCGAGGTATGTTGGTCCAGTGAGACTGAAAATAATGCCAGAACCTTACATGATCACGTAGACACTCTTCATTGAGTCTTGGTGCGACGATGAACGAATCATTGAGGAGAATGTTCGCCGAGTCAAGATTTCCTCACCCGATGTGAGTACTACACAACTAGATAGCGAGGACTATCCAGCTCACACTGTTTCTAGTACGTCTCATGGAGCCCCGAGGATGCAGTCAAGCATTATTTGACCCGTATCTCCTCGCGAATTCCCCAATTCCAGACCATGGAAGAGAAGGACCTGAACTATATCAAGGTTTGTCACACCTAGCTTCCATCAGTATCAATACTTACCTGTGAACAGATGATCAATGCCGGAGAGCGCCTTATCGTCAACAACTGCAGCTTCGGCTATCTTTCTAACCGCATCGTTTTCTACCTCTTGAACCTCCATATTAAATCGAGACGGACCTACTTCGTTCGGGTGGGTGTTCAATCCAGCCATGCTGACATTGTTTGACCAAAACTGACTGTTCATTCCAGGCGGGCGTATCGAAAGATGCCGCATTCTACAAGTCCGATTCTGGCCTATCCGAACAGGGAGACGATTACGCCAGAAAAATGACAGACAGTCTGCTTGCTCACCGAGAGTCCGAGAAACAGGACATGATTGCCCGCGGTGACGCGGGTTATGAACTACGACCACTGAAGGTCTGGACCTCCACTAGACGCCGAACTGTGGAGACTGCGAAATACCTCTACGACAAAGGATACAAGGTCCGACAGCGCTCTCAAATGAGTCAACTCAACCCCGGTGTCTGTGAGAAGATGTCGGAGAGACGCATCCGTGCAGAGTGGCCGGACGAAGTCGCAAAGCATGAGCTTGATCCCTACCATCATCGGTACCCTCGAGCCGAGGTAAGAAGATCCAGAATTATTGATGACTAGACCGGGGTTGACGTTTTAATAGTCTTACCATGATCTTGCTGTCCGTCTTGAGCCCGTTATTCTCGAACTAGAGCGAGAGCAGAACGATTTGCTCATTATCGCCCACGAAAGCGTGCTGAGAGTCTTGTACGGCTATCTCATGGCTTGTAACGCCGCCGACATTCCATTCTTGGAATTCCCACGCGATGAGATCATTGAGGTACGATCAAGTCTTTCTGCTTGATTTTATATGTTATGTCAACTGAATTATTCTAGATCATCCCCGAGAGCTACCAAAATGAAGCACGCAGAATCCATATTCCCGACCTGCCAGAAGAGATTATCCCCGCCTCGCCCGAAGATCTGAAGATCCCCGTGCCTCCTAGCGGATTCGTTTCCCCAATCCAAGGCCTGGGCAGCCCATTAGACGGGGCTGGGACTCCTCAGAGTGGATTCAGGACCCCAAGTGGACTTCGTACCCCTCGTGAGCCGGAGCGAATCTCCCAGCAACACGTCGAGGACGTTGTTTAAAGTCCGATCGGAGAACCTCTTCCTGGTGGGAATAATGGTGTCATTATTCCTGCGATTTCTTCCAGCTGCAAATTGATTGCTTATATCGTTATCCACGTATATACCGTACCACCCGCAAATATCACTAGCCTCCGTGTAGCGTCGAGACAAATACAATATTATCTCCTGCTTGAAGTTCGTAGTTCTCCTCGCCTTCGAGTTCCCAGTCGGCGTCATTAATTAGAACGAGAATACCGGGCCGGCTGCAGTTCTTGTTAGTCCTAGGTCTAGTCAATGGTCTTTATATCACATACACATTGTCCTCCATGATAAACATCTCCTTCCGTTGGTCTTGCATGAGATTGTCCACAAGGTACGGAAGTAGGTATGCGATGTTGGTCGGGTTGCCATCCTCCATGGATGCGGGTAATGAGACTTTATGTTTCCGCTCATTGCCAAATAGCAACTCAAGTCCGCCACTATAGAAGCCGTGTTAGAAGCTGCTAGATCAAGTCTTCGGGGAAATCGAGGGACCGTACGTGAACTCGACGGTGATCGGGATGGATGGGCCAGCAGCCCCCTTTGCAGCATCAGACATGACTCTAGGAAGTAGAACAACGAGTCTCTAGAGTTATTATGCCCTTTGAAAGCGTTATGAACTCTCTTGACTGGACTGGTGAAAGGTAGAAGTTGATGATGGCGGTGGGGAGGGGCTGGGGCAGAATCATCCTTATCGATAAGACCGCTTCCACAATTATCTTTTGCGACAGCTCTTTTCTCCGTCACTGCAATCTCCAACGCCGACACGACGGGGACGTCTGAGCTCGGGCAACTTTTTGCAAGCATGGCGTCTGTCACAACCGACTATATCAGCGTGGGAGGAAACCGGCACCCCGGGGCTGCCGATTGGGATGTCCAGTCGGGTGTGCTTGCCTTTGGTGCGGACAACAATGTCGCCTTGTGGGAGCCTCTGGTATGGTCCATTGAGTGTTTAGAAGAGTTTGAAATTTTGTGACAGAGCTGACAGGTAGCTTAGGATGACTCACACAAGGGTGTGTATGCCCTCCTCGTGGGCCATTCCGACAAAGTCAGCGTCGTTAGATTTTACACCTGCCCCGCCTCGGGGGCGAAGTTCCTCCTCACCGGCTCCGTCGATCGTACAATTAAAGTATGGAAACAAGAAGAGAGTGACTCGCGCAACTTCAAACAAGTTGCGTCCCTTGAGGGGCATGAAGGAAGCGTGAATGCGATTGCCGTGGCCGACGGAACGGATATCGTCGCAACTGGTGCTGCAGATGGAACGGTTCGAATTTGGAGAATCAATGCGCAAGATGGATTGAAGTCTGAATTGGTGGAAACAATCGAAATGAAACCTCGATTCTTCCCGCTTACGCTTGCTCTGCGGGTACTCGAGGCAGGTAATGGCAAGCCCTTGGTGCTGGCAGTCGCAGGAACTACCACGAGCGTGCAGATCTACTCTGCGGAATCGTCTATTGAAGCGCCAAAATTTCAACGTCGGGCTGCTCTTTCGGGCCACGAGGCTTGGATTCGGTCGCTCTCGTTCACGCAAGATAAGCAGGGCAAGACCAATGATCTTTTGCTTGCCTCTGCTAGTCAAGACAAGTACATTCGTCTGTGGCGACTATGTCAGGGTGAAGCAGAAGTCTCTGCTACGGTTGATGAAGATGATCCTCTCTTGGGTGGAATGGAGCCTACTCTATCTAACAAGGCCCATGAGTTTGAAGCTGCTGGCTCAAAGTACTCGATCACTTTCGAGGCTCTTCTGTTCGGCAATGAAGACTGGATATACACTACAGCATGGAACCCCGATCCAGCGCGATCACAGCTGCTGACTGCATCAGCCGATAACACCATCACCATCTGGGAACAAGACCCAGTATCCGGAGTCTGGGTGTCAGGGGAGAGAATGGGAGAAATTAGTACTCAGAAAGGTTCGACCACTGCGACTGGCAGTGCTGGTGGCTTCTGGATTGGTCTTTGGTCGCCAGATGGCAAGCAGGTGGTAAGCCTTGGCCGCACAGGTAGCTGGAGAGTCTGGCAGTATGATTCCGAAGGAGACATCTGGGCTCAAAAGTTCGGCATCTCAGGCCATGTGCGGTCAGCGAATGGCGCGCAATGGGAGCCCAGTGGTGGCTATCTACTTTCCACTAGCGCCGATCAAACTACACGTCTTCATGCTCAATGGCTGCGAGACAACAAGAGCTCATGGCATGAGTTCTCTCGCCCTCAGATTCACGGATATGACTTGAACTGCATTGACACATTAGGACCTGCACAGTTTGTATCTGGTGCAGATGAGAAGCTTCTGCGTGTCTTCAATGAGCCCAAACAGATCGCAGAGCTTCTAGAGAAGCTGACTGGCTTCCAACAAACCATTAAGAGTGATATGCCAGACACGGCTGAGATTCCAGTTTTGGGTCTTTCAAACAAGGCTCAAGGAGATGAAGCCCCCGTCGAAGAAAATGAGAACTTCAACGGAGCAACGCCATCTGCTCCTGCTACCGCTTTGCTTACCGACTCCCCACCACTTGAAGACCAACTATCTCGATATACCCTGTGGCCCGAGCACGAGAAGCTCTACGGCCACGGCTATGAAATATCCGCCGTTGCCGTGAGCCACGACCGCTCGCTCATTGCTACTGCTTGCAAGGCCAGCTCCGTCGACCACGCAGTGATCCGTTTGTACGATACATCAGACTGGCATGAGATCAAGCCATCTCTCACAGCACACTCCCTAACAATCACCGACCTGTCATTCTCCGATGACGACAAGTTCCTCCTTAGTGTGGGCCGAGACCGCCAATGGGCCGTCTTCGCAAGAGATGAACAGGACCCAACCACATTCACCAGCTGGACGACAAACCCGAAGGGTCACTCTCGAATGATCCTAGGTGCAGCGTGGGCCCCAACAACCGCCGAACGCATCTTCGTCACAGCCGGCCGTGACAAATCCGTCAAGATCTGGCAAAAGACCGAAGACGCATTTACCTGCAAGACTACCATCGCTTTGACATCTGCAGTGTCGGCAGTTGCATTCTTCCCTACCCCTTATAAAAACAACTTCATCCTGGCTGCAGGAGAAGATACCGGTGCCGTGTCTATTCACAGCATTGCTGCTGATAGCCTCGAGGCACAACACATTGTGACCATCGACCGGCTTATTGCCCCGTCGAAGACAATCACCCAATTATCATGGAGGCCTGTGCCAGTCGCCGATGTGGATAGCAGGACTCACTTTGAACTTGCAGTGGCTAGCGAAGATACCTCCACTCGCATATACGCCATCTCTAACATACTCTCATGATTGCAATGTATATAGACGAATAAAGTGATTTGCTTACTCGGCTTGACTAATGAACAAAGTCATCATAAGTATTTTCTGGATATGAACATGCTGGCAGCAAGTAGTAAATACTGAAGACCACCTTCACATCAACTGAAACCCCCCAAATCGCATCGACGAATTAATTTGAACTTTCACATAATCATGCCTCTCGACCTCAAACGATAGGACTTGAATAGAAAAGCTCACACGGACTCCGTGGTTCTTCGCGTCGAGAAACTCATCCCCATGGTAGAAACATTCGATCCATCCACAACGCCTGGATTAGTAACGAACTTTGCACGCAGGGCAGCATGAATATCCGCCTTACTCCTATCCTTCCACGCAGGAAACCCATCCTGACTGAGAGGAAATAGAACCAAGTTTTCCGGGCGACCCATGAAGTCTTCCGCCCTTGGAGGCGGAGTAGCAGTTATGATATCAAGCTCCTTGGCAATTTGGCGACAGTATGTCGTGAGCGGTAGATCATTGACGTCTTCGCCGAAGGGATTCTCAACTTCACTGCCGATGAAGAGTAGGCCGATGATGATGTATGCGGCGACTAGATAGAAGCGGGTAAGTCAGGGATGTTTCGTTTAAGATATGACTATGGCATTGGCGTACCTATGGATGCGGGAATTGTAGTCCAATGCAAGAAATTGTACAACTGGAATGGGAGGAGCATCACGTAAACCCAGGAAATCTGTGATATAGCGATACTGTAAGCTGCGGGTAGAGGCGTATCTAGGACTCGCTCCGTTCCGGTCAAGATTTCGTTTAGCGAGGACAGCATGGTCACTATACGATTAGTTGAGATTTTGGGAACTTGTTTTCCGTATGACTCTCTTCAACTTACTGACTTGGCCCTGGTACTGTGGCACCGAGAGCGTACCATTCTTGACGCAACACTCAACGTAGGCGGATAAATGAACGAGGATCTCAAACGGGAGATGTCCAAGTGGTTTCTTGGATCGCTTGACGAGCTTGCGAGGGTTAGACTTGGCGAATGAGAAGCCCAAATACTCTCCCATGGATTTCCAAGGTGTTTTCGAATGCGGCGATACAACGCTATGATCATGCGCGTCGAGTGCGAACGTGTCTAAATGGCCAATTAGGCCGGCCAAATCCTCATAGGCAACATCGGGTTCAAAGCGGAGCTTGTGTTTCAATGAGACAGCAAAGGCGAGAATGAGGTTCATGGCTGATCTATGATGAGATGATTAATGGTTAATGCAAGTCCAACTACTCCAGATGGGACTCTGGATATACATCTTTCTCAGAAGATCCACCTTGCTATTCTCCTCTCCTTCACGTTCGCCGATATGTACCCAGATGACGCGGGCTAGGTTACGCGAAGTTTGAATGAGCCCGGCCCAGTACTTGCGTCCATCCGCCCATCTATGGAGTGTTATCTGCAGTCAAGATATGAGTTTGTAGGGAAGTATACCTTTCGTACGCAGTTGAGCCACGAAAAGACAATGACAAACCCACCACAAAGCCCAGGACGGTAAGAAGAATATTGTTAATACCAACTACATGCCATTTCAATCAACCATGTCCAATCGTGGTAGAAGGAGCTCAGACTCACGATTATGTTTGAAATGAGAAATGCATGTAATAAGAGTAGCCCAGCCCCCGACTAGCAACAGCGGTAAAATCATCTGAGGCATTACGCTGCCTTGGACTCTCATGACGGTTGGCCATTTCGAATGTCTGGTCATATTTCGAGGTCCATGCTAATTTCCAGATGTTATATATCGATATTATCCTCGATGGTTCTGTTCGGGGCTACATACAAAGTATCGCTCCAGCTCGCTTCTGTCCTGTACGTGGAACTGTGACTCTCGGGAGTCCGCTAGATGATCCATAAAGCTCGGTCGCCGGGAGAAGGACTCGATAAAGTCTTGCTCCTTAGAGCGTGGAAACGATGCGGTCGGGACATCCTTATCGTCGTCGTGGTTTACATCCACGGAGGTGGATACTGGATCGCCGCAATCCGACATGATAAGGAAAAATCGATCCAAGGGAAGAGGGGAAAAAGAGAAGAGCGAAAAGCCGTGCTGTTTAGATTCACAACCTAGTGGGAGCGAGAAAAAAAGGTACTAGAGATAGGTCCGCCAGTCATTAATATCAACGAGGAAGAATGTTGAAGCTACGTCATTCGTGTTTACTTATCCCGATCTACAGATCCTGGTGACTATGCTTTGACCAGACTAACCATCCAAGTACATCAAGTTACAGTGCGACTTGCCGTCCTAGGAAACAGCTGCAGCCACGCCAAGGAGAATGAGTATCAAAGTAAAGCTTTGAAGGCTTCTGACTGGAATAGTAAGGCTGCGTGTCTTCGTAAGCGCTTCTTTTGGCGATATTCTATTGGGCCAACTAGGAGTTATACTCCGATTCGAGCGGGGTGATCATCAATTGCCCCGCTTGGCCTGGTAGATCTTTACTTGTCTAGCAAGTACTTGTACAAGAAAAGAAATGAAAGCAGTACTTCTTTATTGATGTATGGCTAATCATCATCCAAGGCAAGAATCTCCTCGGTTATCCCTGCCAGCTCCTGCTGTTTATCGAACAGCATACGCACGTAGTCTTCGATACTTCGCTGCGCATCGATAGGTAACTTTGCAATGTGTTTCCCCAAGACCTCCATGGCAAACTCCGTGTCCCAGGTAATGAGGGCATCGCTCAAGAATGATCGTAAGCCTAGATAACCATCCTCCTGCAGATTTGCAAGTGCAGAATACACTTGGAATCGAATGCCGAGCATCTCTTTACGCGTTTTGTGATCGATTCCCTGGAGGCTCAAAGCTTGGTTGATCTTCCACAGGACAATCTCGAAATGAAGGCTCCGGCCATCCAAGTGCTCGTCAAAAAAGAGCTCTAGAGAGTCCCTGACTGCTTCCAAAAGCTCCTCGCCTTCAAGGTTTGATATGAGAGTCTGTATCTCATCCAGGCATACGAACTTTTCAGATGGTAGCGTGCATAGCGCACGACGCAGCAGGCCAGTGATCTCGGTTGGTCCCAATACTCGCATAATGCCTGTAGCTCCTTCCTTGAAGCCGAAGATTCCAGCAATGGGCAGTTCCAAGGCTTCTTCGTATTGATGGTGCTCTCCATCATCAAGGCATCCTTCATCGGAGCGATCTGCGTCGCTTTCCTCCACGTCTTGTTCGCTTTCCTCTGTATCCTGGTCACCTTCTTCATCTTGGTCGCTTTCTGCATCTTGGTCGCTTTCATCACTCTTATCTTAGTACCAGACATCGCTTCCTGATTCGCTCTCGCCTTCCGACTCAGTGCTGACAAGGCCTGACCATTTGATGCCTGAAACTTTGATCCGGTAGTCAAAGAAGAGACTCAAATTCTCAAAAACTGGTCTTTTTGGTTTGATCTTGAGAATCACAAGGCAGGTTCTCCTTTTGTTGTCATCCTCCTCCTCTGGTGGTGCCGAATCTGTAGTCATGTCATCAGGATCTTCGGGTGACAAGCATATTCTGCCTTGATCATAGTCGTGCGAGGGGCCGTCTGGGCTGTCCTTAGATGTGTCTGTGTCTTGCTCAACTTTCTGTGATATCAAACAAGAGTGAGTCTGCAGTCCTAAATTTAAGCCCACGTACCATCACTCATAGGCCGACTTCATAAGTCAAAAGCGATGGAGTCATGACGCGAAAGTCAGTGCAGTGGGATGATGGAGATGGAGAGATCCAGGTAAACAAGGATATGTTGGGGACGTCGGTGAAGAGCGTGAGTTGGGAGTTTCCGCAAGGAAAGAGCGAGGGCGGTTCGCGTACCTTCACTTTCTGTAGTCATCTAGACCAGGCCAAGACATCTTTAGGTATTTTATTTTCAGGGCCTGGTCTCTATACAAGTAACTTTGTTAGTTACTTGACTTGAAGCTCGATTGATAGGCATTTGCGGGCAGGTCCATGTTGGGAGCTTATGTCAACTATGTAGACTATATTCCAACCCAAAAGGCTTGTCTCAATATGTGATAGCCATCATTTTAGGTATCTTGTGAAACTAAAGCTGTTAGCCGGTTAAAGATTGAGATAAATGATTGTTTTGCTTGCTCCTATGAAGAGCTAGAAGCCTTGGCTGCTCGCATATATCGGATCCAAATATTATGTTGTAGAAATGTGGATTCTATCATGGGAAGTATATTTGAAATAAATTCTAGAAAAAAATCAGTATCTATTCCATGCATTTGTAAATATCTCCAACCAAAGAACCTGTTGGTTTCCTCGTTTTTACTTTTGTTTGATGCAGGGCGGTCGGCCCGGATTATCCTCCCTTCCGAGCTGTCGTTGACCTTTGGGGAAGCTCTCCTCCGCTGAACCTTTTTGAATCTCATCCCAATCTCAAGCTCTTAGTTCTTCCCATTGTCGCTCCAATCTCCACACGCAATGGCCGACTACGAGCGCCGGAACAATGGCTACCGGGGCGGTGGTGGTGGGCGCAAGCGCCGTTATCGAGGTGAGCGATCCTCCCGAGGGTCTCTTTTTACGCGCTGCTGACCAGGAACCTTTTCCAGATGACGAGGACTATGATCGCCGCCCTCAGCGACGGAGATATGAGGAGCCACTGTTTGTTCAAGTTCGCCGGCAGCTTCTGACCATTGCGGAATCGGTAGGATCACCTTCCTTTACAAGGTCTAGGCGCGTTGTTGTGCTACACTATTTCAGAACTGGTCACTGATGCTGAAACTCGCTGTTTAGGCTGCTCGGAGAGTCGAGGATGATGTCGTGAGAATCGCAAAGACTGTGGCTGAGAACTACGAGGATGAGGAGTTGCGCGACACCTTGATCAACATTTCCCTTGATCTGTACGAAACCTTGCCCTTGGCTCCCGCTAGCACTACCTCAATGCGCCTACTGACATGTTTATGCTACACAGTGTCCTGGAACAACCTATGAAGATCCCCTTTGTTGCTGCGACAGCGCTTTTCACGTACAACAACAAGCCGGAGCTAGGAACGGAACTTTTGAACAAGGCAGCCGCGGCTTTGCAGAAATACATCGATTCCGGATCATGGCGCGAGGTTAAGCTTCTCGTCCGCTTCCTGGGATGTCTACAGCCTCTTTACGAGGGTGATGGCATCTTTACGCTCTTGGAGGAGCTGTTTGCGCGTGCGGTTGATCTCCAGACCGCATCTTCGGAAGACGTAAGTCTACTAGGCTCTTGGACTCTGAGAAATTCGCACTAACCTTCCTGGTATAGTTGCTCGGCATGGAGCTTGTCAAGATCATCCTCTTCACCATTCCCTACGTGATGTCATCCCCCGCTACCGGCTTCGAATCTCAAGCTTCTGCGCTTCTCGAAAAGACCGACATCATTGCTTCTACTCCCCACGCCCTGGTCGACTTGGTCAACACCTTCAGTCCCGAAGAGAACGAATCCGCGGCTGGTCCCAGCTTAATCAGTGTTCTTCAGCGCCAGCTTCAGGGCGAGTCCAGCAACGGCTGGGAGTTGAAGTGCCTGCCTCGGCCATGGAAGGATGTGCGGGAATCAGAGGGCGACGAGCCACAGCCTTTCGAGGTAGTGACCAAGGTCGCTTTCCCCCAGATTACCGTTCCTAACCCCGTGCCATATGGCCCCCGGGCTCTCTTCCCGGAGGTCTACCTCTCGGTCTACGCCAACCAGGAGATCGACACTGTACCTCCCATCTCGGACATCACTGCCTCGCTCATGAGAGACGCATTGGTGGATACCCTCAACCTCCTTGACTTTAACCGCGTCGCTACGGCTAAGTACCTTATCGATGTGGATTGTTATTATACCCGCCACACATTCGTCAAGCGCGCCACGCCATTTGACCGTATGCGTGAGATTGCCGGTGATAACAAGTCGTGGAAGCCAGAGGATGTCGCGGTGGATGCTGTCTTCTCGCAGTTGTTCCAGCTGCCCACGCCGGAACACAAGCTTGTTTATTATCACTCCGTCTTGACCGAGTGCTGCAAGATCGCCCCTGCAGCAATTGCGCCCAGCTTGGGCCGTGCCATTCGGTTCTTGTACAACAGCCTGGAGACTATGGATCTGGAGCTGAGCAGCCGGTTCTTAGACTGGTTTGCTCATCATTTGAGCAACTTTGGTTTCACCTGGAAGTGGAGCGAGTGGTAAGAACACGGCCATGTAACTAACGCTGGCAAGATGCTAACAGTTTGACAATTAGGGTTGAGAATCTCGAGCTTCCCGCCGTTCATCCTAGGATGGCATTCATTAACGGAGCACTGGACAAGGAAATCCGGCTGAGCTTCGCGCAGCGTATTAAGGGTACTCTGCCTGAACCTTACTTGCCTTTGATCACAGAGAGCAAGGAGAAGGACACTCCCGAGTTCAAATATTCCTCCGAAGGTATGTATAAAGATAGTTGTCACCATTCCCATCCCCCTGTTCTCTATTCAGTCCGCTAACCATCTAATAATAGCAACCCCATACTTCAAGGAAGGACAAGAGCTCATGCAGCTCATCCGCAAAAAGGCAAACGACGATGAACTCCAGCCCATCATTGCTTCCATCGAGGAGCAAGCGCAGGGCCTAGGTGTGGAAGAGCCCAAGGTTCCTTCTACAGACGCCCTCGTTACGTCCATCTGCTTCGTGGGCTCCAAGTCATTGTCGCACGTCCTGTCCTGCATCGAGCGTAACAAGGACCGCCTACTGGCCGTTGGCGCAGCCTCTGAAAAGGCCCGCTTGCAAATAATTACCTCGGTCATGGAGTACTGGGCTGATCAGCCAGGCATTGCCATCAACATTGTCGACAAGTTGCTCAACTACACTATTATCAGCCCTCTTTCCGTCCTGGAGTGGGCCCTCACTGAGCACATTGCCGCCGGCTCAATCCTCTCCAAGCCCCACATCTACGAGATGATCTCCGCCACCGTTGGCAAGGTCACCAACCGTATGCGCCAGATCGTGGCTGCTCGCACCCAAAAGAACCTGTACGAGCCCCAACTGAGCGTGCTCGACGAGACTCTGTCCCGTGAACGCGTTGAAATGAAGAACCTGTTCAAGTTCATCGAGGATGCCGTCGTCTCCGTTGCCTCCGGCAGCAACGACGAGCTCATGGAACGTGGTGATGGATCAGGTGATATGCCCGAAGACGCCATCCTCCGCCAATGGGGCCGCCGCTGGCTTCGTGTCTTCCGCCGTAAGGCTGCCGTGGAGGACGCCTTCATTTCTGATGCGCTGATCCATGCCACCCCCGTTGGCACTAACGCCCCGACTCGTGAGGATCCCGCGGATACCGCGGGTGACGGGGACATTCACATCGCTGATGCAGATGGACAATGAAATCATGGAGACCCGGGGTATTATCCATGACTGCATCGAATAGGAATTTTCGAGTACTGGACTTAGCACTGATCTTGTGGGGTTTTCCCTTGTTTTTCTTTTTCTTTTACTTCCTTTCGATCTCTGTGTTTTGCATTATCTTTCCTTTTTTTCTCTTTTCTGTGTTTTCTCTCTGATCCATGAACGCCCGAGGCGATTCTCGATTAGGTCTCCGGTCTATCTTGGATCTGTACACTAGCGAACTGAGCCCAAAACTCGAGTCTTTGCGAGCTACCGCAATGAAATATCATTAACATCATTCAAAAGGGAAGAAACATGAAAAACGTCTCTCAATTTATACTCGATGTTGTGTAGACTTACAATTGACCATGTCCAGGCTACTCCCCTGTCTTTCCCAGGTTACTATATCTGCACCCTTCAGCCTATTCCAAGCCTATACACCTCCAACACACTCACCCTTTTACCCCTCCACCTCTCGCTTCACAATCACAATCTTCAAACCCCCCCGGAAGCCGCTAAATAAACCAATACAACCAGTTATCACCAATAATCCGGTCAGACCTACCGGCACGTACAAGTGCCCGATTTGCCCACTCAGCAACCAGTGCAGGCGTAACGGGCATACTACTATCTTTCATAAGCCTAATCCACTCACGTACTCGGTAGAGCTCATGTTGGGGTTTGTCGGTTGTAGGTTAGACCGAAGGGCATACCCTTTGGCACTGAGTTAGCTCATACAGTTCTCGCTAAGTTGAATGCCGGAATTAATTAATCAATCAGTAGTATCTATGAGTGGATCATAATGTAACAGTATAAAACAGGAGGTAATGAGATAAACAGTTTTCTTGGAGATTTGGTCAAGCCATTGCTGACCTGATATGGTCCTTGACCATGTTTAACTAACTCCTAACTCGTTTTAAGCCAAGCCTAATCCATCTCTCTACCAAAGAGTAAAGACTTTCTCTGGTTCTTGTTCGTATAAATGCCTTATACGAAAGAGCTAGTTTTATTTTCCCGTTCCAGTTGAATAGAGTACAGATAATATAGAGAAGAGAGGACAAAAGAAATAGTATATAAAACCCCAACAATAAAAGGAGATGGATATCACAAGATCACAAACAAGGACAAAGTAAACCCCAGATCAAAGACAAAGACATGCAAAATGCAAAGATCTAAATAAACAAAGGCCCCTCATAACATCGTATACATGATGTAACAGTTGATAATAAAGGACCGAAAACAAAAAAAAAAAGCCCCAAGATATTAGGTCCAAGATCTCAACACACAAAGAACCAATACTCCACAGCCCATCGCTCATCCAAATCCATGTACAGGGTCTTTATTTCAAAGACCCCTCCTCTCAATGTAATACCCCCCTTCTTCCCCCTCGCTACTCGACCCCCCATTCGGGCTCGCGCTCGCACTCGCATACATCCCCATCCCATCTTCATACCCCCGTCTATCCTCCTCAGACTCCATAGAGGACATTCTCCCCGCAACACCGCGGGTGTGGCCATGGCCGTGACCGTGACTGTGACCGTGGTTGTGGGCACTCGTCGTCGAGATCCGCCGATCTTTACCCCGGCCCTTGATACCCTTGTTGCTGTTCTTGTATAGCTCGGCAAAGTACTCCCATAGTTCGCGGTCTGCGGGGTTCATGGGGCCTGCGTCGCCCATTTGGGCGAAGCGGAGGGTTAGATTTCGGAGGGTTGTGGAGTGGAATTTGTTTTGGTGGGACTGTAGGAGGAAAGGGCGTAAGTGTTTTTGTTCTTGGAAATGATAGGAGTAGGGGATGGGGGAGGGAGGGAGGGGCTTACCTTGAGGTTACCCAGTTGAGTAAACTTCTTTCCGCAGGAATCGAGGAGACAGGTAAATGGTTTTGCTTGGAGGTGGGTGATTTGGTGGGCGCGGACGTTACCCCGCTGTGCGAAGCGCTTGTGGCAGATGTCGCATTTGAATGGCTTTTCGCCCGTGTGTCGTCTTTGATGGGTCTGTATCGAGGGATGGGTTAGTATACTTGATTCTTGTCCAGGTTCAAGGTAAAGACAAAGACAAGGATCGGTGTATCCTTGTCTTGCAAAGTGTCACTGCACATGCGTACCTTGAGGTTTCCTAACTGGGAGAACCGCTGCCCGCATGAAGGCTCCTTGCAGATCTGTACATTCATTAGCAAATGACTTCTCTTCTCTTCCTCGATTCCCTCTGCATCGTATTCCTCTTTTCTAAATGCTCAACGGATGCCGCGGGTAATCCATAAAAAACTTACAAAAGGCTTCTCCCCCGAATGCGCCCGATTATGAATATCCAAATGCGTCTTCTGCGCAAAGCTCTTCCCACAGTTCGGCAACATGCAAGTATACTTGCGCTTCTTGCCAGACCGGGACAACTGTCCCTCATTAGTGAGCAGGCTGCGTGGCGGCGACATCGGATACCCAGCGTAGCTTGGATATCCCGGTGGTGCTAGTTGCTGCAGTGGTGGCAGCGACTGCTGCATGGGGACTGGCGAAGTCGAGGATCCGGGCTTGGCCTGGATGGCTTTCATCAGGACGTCGACTTCGGTGGAGAATTCGGCTTCTGCGCCGGACTTCTTGGACGGGTCTGTTCCTGTTGATGGGACTTGAGTGCTTGCTGGGCTGTAGTCGTTGATTCGGGTGGTCACTGGGTTGATGGCGTTCTTTGCGGGGCGGATTTCGGGGAGTGATTGCAGTGGTGGTGGTTGGTGTTGATGCTGCTGGTGCTGTGAATGATGCTGCTGAGACTGATGTTGCTGCTGCTGATGGTGGGCTTGATGGTGATGGTGTTGAGGCTGGTGATTATCCGACGACAGGCGCACCGGCGAGCCCAGTGATGGTTGGTTGGCCATGAAATACTGGTACGGATGCGATGGTTGACTCAATACCCCCGAGCTAAAGCTGTAGGCAGCTGTCGTGGGAGTTGGTTGGTAAGGCAGCGTGTACGGAGTCGAAGTTGGGTGGGAATAGTAAGAATATAGAGGCGAGTCCATGGCGCGACGGTGCGGGAATGAGCCCACACCGTGACCAGGGAACTCGTAGGCAACGGGTTCGGCAGTCTCCATGATGATGAGTATGACAGATTGAGTGACAGAGAGATGAACTCAGGTCCAGGGGGCGGGGAGTGGGATGTTGTGGTTAGAGAAGGGTTCGTTGGGATGCGCTGAAGGTGAAACCCTGGCAGCCTGACAGCCGCGAGCCACGTACTCGGTAGGGCTTATGCTGAGGGGTTCGTCGGTTTCTTTTTGCTTTTGCTTTTGTTTTTTTATAGAACCCTAAGATCTTGATTCTTTGTTTTGAGTTGATTTGGGTTTTGTTCGAAGAAGAAGAAAATCCAGGGCAGCGAAGTATAGAAAATAGACAATCCGGCTGAAGTAGTATGCACGACGATGATGTGGTCCTGGGTATACACACTCAATAGTGAATATAATGGAATACCTGGCTAGGCTTGGGATGTTCAAGAGAGGGATATATAAGATATATCAAAGGGTTGGAGGCTGTTTGTCTCGCGCAGCCAAGATGCAGAGCCGGGGGGAGCAGGGTCACCGATCGATCTATATAGGATCACCCGCGGAACGAGGCAGACGTTTTTGACAGAAACGAGCGAACCAGTAAATTTCAGAGGCGCAATTTCCCACGACTATTCCCACAGGCTGCAGGTGGGCTGAAGAAAGGGCCCAGAGTACGATGGGGGATCGGCCACCATACGCCCAGAGAGAAGTCCGAGGAAACTAGTGGTGATCACCCGCGTCGTCCGCCGTCAAAAGAAGTAGTCAAAATCGAGAAAGTCCAAGCTCAGGTTTGTTCCCGGTGGAATGGTTGAGGAAGCGCCTAGTGGGCTCGAGTTGTCGAGAAAAAGGATGTGTATTTTCTCTCTGATACAGAGTGACGTTCGCCCGGAAAGGGGAGTAGTTCGAGGGCCCCCGACGTGCAGTGGGGATCTCACCGGGGAAAAGAGGGAAAATAGTATAATAAAAAAAAGAAAATAAAGTAAATCGAATAATCATATAATCATATAAAATGAGAATATTTGATAGAAAACGAAAATGATCAGCAGTGATTAGTAGTATCCAGTGGTCGTTACTGGGTCTACCCAAACAGCCGATTCCACTAGGATCAGGGATATGATTGCAGTGTGAAGATGGCAAAGGAAATGAAACCAGAAGAATATTAGAATATTCAGAATAATAGTACTCATTTATTATTATAATCATATTATAAGAATATATCAATAGGCGACCTGAAAAAAAAAATCCCCCATCGAGGTACTCCACTAGGCCAGATGCATCATTTCGGACAGGAAGATCCTGCTGTATCACGAGAGAGAAGAATATTCTGATTTAGTGTCCCCGCACAAATCAGAGAGATCATGATAGCAAACTAGAGTTGTGTCAATTTCTATTATCATGCCCAATCCTTTTCCATTAGCAGTTCCAATTCTCTGATTCGAAGAACCCGATGGTTGGGAATGGGGGTGTAGAGAGAGTACTGGAGAATCTCGGTGTGCCCCCCCAGTCGAATTCAATCGCAGCCGCGACTGGCGAGGATTTTAGCTAATTCACTGGACGAAATGGGATTAGTTTGAGTAGGTAAAATCAGAATAAAATAAATAATAAAATGGAGAACCCTGCTAAGCCTAAACTAAATAGAGGACTTGGGGGCGTGACTGTCATCCACCACTGACAGTCTCTCAGCGACATTTTGGCCCACCTAGACCTTTTTCAAGTTTTCACTCTCTCTTTGTCTCTGTCTGTCTCGTGGTTTTGTTCACGTTATTATGTACAGTGCCAGAATACCAGTATCCTCCGTATAGCTTCGATGTAGCACTGCATCCATTATTTCTCCTCTTCCCGCTATACTTCCTTTTCCAATTCCTTCTTTTTCCTTTCTATCCTTCTACCCCTTCGATCATTCTATTAAACTCATATTAGCTCCGTACAAAAACACAATAGAAGAAAGAAAGAAAAAAAGCAATCACCCTTTACTGTAGTGCCCTCGAGGGCGGGCCGGGCCTTCGGGCTTTCAATGTGGACGGGGATCTGCGACAACAAAGTCGACAGGTCAAGCCAGCTTTCTCCAGTCAGAGAAGAGACCAAGAGACCATTTCATCTGGATCTTGATTCGTCCATAGCTGACTCTGCCAAGCCCTACTCCCCCCTCTTTCTTCCCTTAGGGGGCCTCGACCAGGGTGGTTCGTTCCCTTCCCACATCTCACTGGTCAACTATATACCTAAATACGACAAGTAATTGTGTACTTTCTTCAAAAAATACTAAAGCCCTCCACCTCCACCACCCGGATCAAGCCCGGAGCAGGGACTGCACATTGTCCAGGTCTCCAGTAGACGGGCTAGGTGGCTGGTGTGTTCCCTTTTATTTACATCTTCTGATTGGACTCTCGTCCGGCTGCGCCCGCCCGATAGTCGCCAATAGCGTCCAATCCCCGCCTCAACATGATTCTCCAGTTAGAAACTTAGGGGAGAGTACTCCGTACACTAAGTACTCTAGACTAGACACTCCGAAATATCCTGGTTAGCCGCCCATGGCCCTGGAAAATTCCTTTTGCTGACCCTCCCGATCGGTTTCAGCTTCCCAGATTCGCCTCCTGGCCCCCAGATCTGCTCGGGCGATCTCCTCGGATTCTGGCTCGGCCTAGCACTGGTGTGCCCCAGGAGTGACCTCGGAGATACGACTCGCTGGGGTCTGCTACCCTCTTCTCTTGGCTGGTTTCACCCTTGGTTCACCTGGTCGCTGGTTGCTCCGTGCATGGAGAGGGGGATAGTGAATACGGGGGCACCCGGGTTTACCAGTGCCCAGGTTCCAAACAGATTGGGATGAGAACTCATGACCCGACCATGATACTCCTTCTCCTCGGGACTAGAGATAGGAGATAATAACTCCATGGATGAAGGAGTCCTAGGCTAAAACACAGTCCCCTTTAACATGCAGAAAACTACGGATAGGCAGTAAACTACTCTACCTGTAGGCGTTATTACATACCGCATGATCTCCCCGAAAAGAAAGTGACAGGGCACGTCTTCGGCAAGATTTGTATTTTGTTTTTCTTTGACGGTATTGACCCGAACCTGCACTGCACGTCTACGAACTACGGTACATACTGATGCATCAGGGGAAGGCGTCCGGTTCTTGCTGGTTCCTGCAGGGGGAAGAGATCGGAGCTACGGGAATGACTGGGGGGGCAAATGGTTTGCTCCTCACGAACTCCTACCAGAATTGGGGACTCGGCGGGTATGAGAGAGAGGGAGAGGGGGGGGGCATAGAGTCTGATCGGGAGTGGAGAATCCTAGTCAAAGTAGGTAATAGGTGGTTACTGTAGGTATAGTTAGCCAGACCAGCTGCCTAAGGAGATGTATACAGTATACAGTATCTATTGTACGTACCCAGTACGAGATTCTGGCTGACCAGTGGCAAATGGGAACTTGGTCAAAGGTACGGAGTACCTAGCTAGTAACTTAGCTACTAACTTATAGTTTGGTACTGACTCGCTCCTACGACATTGAATGACCAACAAACTTTGGCAAAGTAGTTAGTACCGAGTAGTTTATTCGGATAATCCCATTAAACTTCCCAGTTCAAACGGCAGCTCTGGCCAGCTCCAGAAACAGCTCCAGAAACAGTTTAGTCCAAACAACCTTTTACGCTCTTTTTGCTTATCTCGTCTAGCTCAAGCAGATCACCTCCAGAACCCGCATCCATAAACAAACCCCACTCTAACCAGTATATGGCAAATGGTGGTACCTTCGTACACTCTGGACAGTATGTGGTCAGTGATTCAGATTCAGGTCTAGTCTTTCCAGAGTCCAGACAACTCCTTAACAGTTAATACATCCAAGACTGCTCCCCCATCTCTCTCCCAATCCTATTTCCCGACACAACCAGGCAGCCGCTAACTCTGGCCCAAGTACAGTAGCGCTCCCAAGCTGTCGGTACCGTCCCGTTGAAAGTGATGAGGCTAGTCAAGCAAAATCACTTGCTCAAGCATGTCGAGCTAGCTAGCTAGCTAGCCCCGAGAGAGGGGGGAAGCTAATTAGGTAGCCGTAGTTAGGTAGCAATTTACTCGATCTAGTCACTGTGTACAAAGTACGAAGTACAAGTACTGTAGGCGTAGTTCGCTGGTTCGCAGTCTATATTAGAGAGGGGGGTACTTACTCGTAACCTCGACGCAGTCAATCTCGAGACTATTTAACAAACGTACATAATTCATGCCTTTGAGTATTAGGGACCCCCTACCCCATATATGTACAAACCCTGACCACCCCTACACCTATAATAACCACCTTCTATATAGCACAGTACACTACCCAGACAATATACAATATTCAATATACCAATCTCATTCAGATAACAACCAAAACGGTCTCCACCCCTCCCACATCCACATTTCTAAATCCTAATCCCCCCAACTCCGCGGATCACTGATCGCCCTCCAGGGTACGTCCAACGACTCGACATGTCGTCTCTCTCTATCCGTTGCCACTATCCTCCTATCCACAACCCTCCCGGGGGGTCCACCACCACTCGCGCGGCTCTGTGACGATTCAAACGGGGCCAGGGCTATCTAGCTGGGTCCCCTGTCCCAGTCTGTCGGTGCCAGTGGGCTTGTCTATTAATTTATTCTTGTTTATCGTTTTTATTTGTTTTTTCTGGCCTGTCAAGCTTACGGGACGGTAGTACGAAGAACTGTACCTATGAAGCACTGGCCACTGGGTCACTGGCCACAGGCTACTAGGCCAGTGGCCAGAAGCCAGTGACTCGAAACTACGTTCACATTCGTACTTTGTACAATGGAGAGTACCGTGTCGAAAGTCTTGTTTTGATTTGTCCCCCCTCTTTTCTCTCTCTCTCTTGCTCCCTTTTCATGACGCCTTGACGCCTTGTGCAACTTGCCCAGAGCGGGTGTGGTCACTTGGTCATGCGCCCCGGCTGGCTGGTCCTGGTTTACCCTAATAGGCCTTCCGGGAGTAGTTAGATTGGGTTGGTTTGGAGAGGATGTTTTGGGTTCGACCGAGTTATTGGTTGGAATTGCAAGAACCCCGTGGAGATGATGTGATGATGTGATGACAGCTACCTACCCTAAGGTACGGAGTACACCTAACTGCACCAGGCCCCAAGTAGCTTACGGTCGACTCTTTACCAATTACTAAAGACAATACTGTGCATGTGCATTATTCAAGAACAAAGCACCAGATATTTGAGCCAAAAATAAAGATATCGGAAGAAAAACAACAGAGTTGGTAACAGGGATAAACATAAAGACACCGTCAAATTCAAGCCCTAACCTGGCTACGCAGTAATCCAAGCAAGTAAAGTCATATTGCGCCGTGGCTGAGCCGATCCATTTTACCGTCCTGTGTACGTCGAGTATCTGAGGGAATAAAGGGTCAGTAGGCTGAGCTGGAAAAGAACACCATAGCAACGAAAAAAAAATGATCGATCGCGGATAGAACAGAAAAGACATGATTTCCAAGCTGGATCGGACTGGACCATCGATGAACCCAAACGACGATCGTAGACCCGACAGTCTGGGATAGGGGAAACGGGAACGAACGAAAAAAAAAGTGGAGAGAGGGAGGGAGATGGAGAGAGAAAGAGGGCAAAGGTGTTGACGAGAATAGCGATTTCTTACCTCCAGATCCGTGCACGCATGTCTCCACTGCCAGTTGCGAAGAGGTTACCGGTCGGGGCGGGGGCCACCGAGATGACTATCCGCGGAGAATTAGAAACAATGATCGACGAGCACGACATCACTAGACAGTCGCTAAACTGCTAGGATGAAGTGATAAGATAGTAGGATCAAGCCCGTCTCCAAGTGGCAGATATGACAGCACACTATCGATCCGGCTAAATCCCAAACTATCGGATGATAGACTCACCAGAGTTCTTGTGGCCCTGCAGCATCATCTGCGCGTTTCCAGTAACGGGATCCCAGAATTGGACCCCACGGTCCTTCGAGCCACTCATGACCCACTGGCCATCGGGCGTCAGGCACACGCTAAGCACAAAGTCCTATAGCGCATCGCAGTAGTTAGTACCCAGTAAAATGTCCAAAGGAAGTGGGTCCCTTGTGGTTGCCGTGTGGCGCGGCCGTTCCACGGGGGAGATCATGGGTGGCATGAGACCGGGAGATTGGGGGGAGAACAATAAACATATCAAGTCCCATCGGGAGAATCAGGAACGTACCTTGTGGCCCTCGAAAGTGCGAATGCACTTGCCGCCCTTGACGCCGCTGTGAGGGTGCATGCCCCGCGGGACGGTAAGCTCCCACAACTTGATAGTCTTGTCCAGACTACCGCTAACCAGGTCGCGACCGTTGGGCGCAAAGGCAACCGAGTACACGCTGTCCTTGTGGCCGTCGGGGTTCTCCAGACGTTCCACCAAGTAGCCAGTGGTGGTATCCCACACTCGCACACTCTTGTCCAGCGAACCGGCTGCCACGTAGTGGCCATCGGGGGACATAGCCACGGTAGTGACGCCGTCCTCGATGCTCAAGGTGTAGACGAGCTTGCCATCCAGGATATCCCACAGACGGACAGTCTTGTCACCACTGCCCGAGGCAATGTAGCGACCGTTGCCAGCAAAGTCCAGGGAGTAGATATCCTGCTCGTGACCGCTGAAGATATGCTTGATGGTGCGTGCAGCAATATCCCAAACCTATAGAACCCATTGAATGGGATTTTGTCAGTCATCAATCTCACACATTGAAGGGAAACAACAGATTGTTTTGTCCTCTTTTCACCAATTTCAATAGAATATCGGCTACGGAGGTTCGCGGGGTCCGAGGATTTGCTTACCCGAATCTGCTTGTCCTCAGCACCGGTGGCCAAGTACTTGCCATCCGGACTGAAGCAAACACTGCGGATGTAAAGGTCACCATCCTTGTCAACATTCTCATCCTGCAGGGTGGCCACATTCTGACCAGTGGTCACATCGAAGATCTGTGCTGAGCGGTTGCAGCCCGTCGCCAGGTACTTGCCATCACGGCTGAATCGAACACAGCAGACCACGCTGTCGTGGTTGAGATGGTGCACCAGATCAACGTCCAACACACGCTGAACCTCCGGGTTGAACACGGCATACCAATCAGAACCCTCGCGCTTTTGCGACGCGGGAAGATCCGCAGGGTCCCAGTTGGCAAGCATGTTACCTGGGCGATCAGCGCGCACAATGGACTGGCTGGGGGGAGTAGGGCGAGGGATCTGGGGCGAGGCGCGAGGATCCGGATAGGCGATCTGAGTCTGCTGAGGGGTGGCCGGACCCGGGGCAGTGCGACGATTCTTAGTCGGGCCAGGGGATGCAGTAGGAGGAGGGGGAGGTCCGTAGCCTGTGTAGAAAGTTGCGACCCGCCGGGGGGTCAAATACGTTAGCCAACCCTGACAAGACATCTCCACTTATGCAAACATACCGTTCACAGCAGCGCCAGGCTGATATCCTCCAGGGAAGCTCTGCGGGGGCTGCGGCGCACCAGGCTGGGCGGCCGAGGCAGGCTGTTGAAGGGTATGCTGGGGAGGCTGCTGATCCTGGGAGGGGGGGAGGGGCAAGACCGGGACCACTACCTCCTTGGTTGGTCATGATACCACCAAACAAGTTGCTGGGGCCGTGGCCCAATGAAGGTGGTTGCGCCTGAGGACCGGTGTGCTGCGCGGGCGCGATATGCGAAGAGACCGGTTGCACGCCGCGCTGCTCGAGTTCATGTCGCAACATTCGGATTTCAGCCTCGTAGCTGTGGGGAGAGAGTAGAAAATGTTAGTCGCAGGGAGATTTCAACGTCAGATGGGCCCTCCCCTTCCAACCATGGCCTTGCTTTCGGTTTGCGCCTAGGTCTGAAGGGGATAGGAGAGGCGCAAAACAGAGTGGAGCGGGGGAAGGGAAATGATCCTAGATGGAAATCTAGATTCATAGGAGGAGAGGAACAAACGCACTCTGCCTTCATTTTGATCTGAGTCTGCTCCAGCTGGTATACCTTCTGACGGATCATCTCCATCTCCTGGAGCTGTCCGGTTACTGCGTGATCTGTCAGTTAGAAAACGTTTCAGCGAGTTTTCGCGACCCATGAGAGAGAAGAAGCGCGCTTCAGCCATTGATGGACTGGGCGACACTTGAAAAAACGATGGACAGGAGAGAGAAGCCAAGGATAAGCGTAGAAAAAGGAAGCTGAGCGGGCGTTTTATGCGAGGGGGAAGATGTAGGGAAAAAACATACACTGGTGTTCATATTCGCCGGTGCTCCGAGACTGGCTCTCAAACTCCTGGCGCAGTTGGTCGAGCAACTCCGTCAGGCGGGAGTTGGGGGCGGGCACCATCCCGCGGTGAGTGTTGTACATGGCTGGAATCGGAAGACAGTAATCACGTCAAAGAGACGATGTTGTTATACGAACGATCTCTGTAAATGGGCGGTCGGAATCAGCGACAGCTCGCGACGGGGGATCGTAGCGTGGACGAGGGTTCAATTGACTGACACTGCGATCGCTAAGAGGCGCGATTGCTGCTTGGTGGACGACACCAGGCAGCTAGCCCGATGATGATGATGGAGAGGGTCGAATAAAGCGACGAAAGCTTGGGTGGATCAGAGTTGGTGGATGGGGGTGGGAAAAAGGCGTTAGATTGGATGAAGAGGCAAAAGGTCGGAGGAGGGAAGAGGGGGGTGGAGGAGGAGGAGGAGGAAGAGGCTGGCAGCGGGAAGGTTGAGTTGAGTTTGGGGGGTGGAGATGGGAACGGGGCGGCTAGCGTTGGCGCGAGAAGCGAGCCAAAGAGCCGAGAAGCGCAATAGAGGGACACCACGGAGGAGACGGAGTGGTTCCGAGTGGAGGAAAACGAGAAAAAGGGGGGATATATGGAACCCGGTCGGAGCAACCAGGATTAATAGGTAGAGGAGTGAGAATGACGAATATTACCGTGAACCTACGAACAAAGGAGAAAAGACCCGTTTGCAAACGGGCTAGGAAAGGTTAGAATGTAGATACATAAGATAAACGGTAAGTAGATCTATATAAGCGGGTTTATTTTATCCGAAAAGTCTTTCAAGGTAATTTTGTGATGTTCATATTATACCGTCGTTCACTCTTATCATTTTTTATGCTCATCAAAAGATATTAGGTAGTCTTATTCAATTAAAGTAGTAACTGTAGTACTTCTACCGTACTTCCACTGCCAGGTTTGGGTGGGTCGGCGATAACGCCGCATCTGGCCTGGACCGGTGGCCTAACAGCCTTGGTGCCTTATGGCCTCAGGAATAAATATCCGCCTTCTTTCTCAGGCAACTAACCCCTGACTAACCCGATTAGGCCAAGCCACCCAGCGTTTAAACATCCTCTTTCCTTCGGCGTACTTTCGAGTCCTCCGTAAGTATTAAGAAATGGCATGAGGACACCACGCCATTCAATGTTTATATACTCCGTAGATGAATGATTAACTCTATCGAGCCAGATTGCATGATATATCTGTAAACATACATCTAATTCTCCTAGTCCACCCCAATCGAAACCAGCTGATTAAGAACGCCATCCCAACGGCTGGCCCCGTTCCGCGCTGGTGTGATGCGGGCAGAATTTATTATTCGCCGCCCCAAATAATCACCCGGTTTCCCGATTGTAGTCCCTCCCCCTTCCACCTATTTTCTCTCCATCTTCAACACGCCTCTCCTCCCCTCTCTCAAGCCCATCATGGATATTATCCTTGAACTCTGGGACACCTTTATTGGTGATCGCCTCTACTCGACCGTTCTCCCGACCTCCCTCTCTTCCGCCGTCGGCCTCCCGGCCTTTGTCAATGCCGCCAACAGCACCCTGTCCCTCTTTGGCGCCGCGGAGCCCTTCATCTATGAGCCGGCGACACAGTTGATTCATCTGGAGCCTTCCAAATATGCTTATCTTAGCGCCTGGCCTCGGAATAACATCTACCGCCAATTCACAAGCTTTTTCCTGATCACATGGTATGCGTTCAATGCCACGCCCTCCTTTTCCCCTCGACACCCCTCGGTATCTTCTAAGAGGGGAGAAACGATGCGCGCGAATACCTCAGAAACTAATTATCGACATCTCAATTGATTTAGGATCTTCGGTCTTCTTGTATACTTCATCGTCGCAACCGCCTCGTACATCTTCGTCTGGGACAAAACTACCTTCAACCACCCTAAATTCCTCAAGGGCCAAATTCCCTTGGAAATCAAGCAGGCCATGTCCGCCATGCCCCCAATGGCCCTCCTGACCGCACCTTTCTTCGTCCTCGAGGTTCGAGGCTACGCCAAGCTCTACGATACCGTCGCCGAGGAACCCTTCCCCTACTACAGCATCCTCCAGTTCCCCATCTTCATCTTCTTCACCGATTTCTTCATCTACTGGATTCACCGAGGCCTGCACCACCCGCGCGTCTACCGCACTCTCCACAAGCCTCACCACAAGTGGATTATGCCTTCTCCTTTCGCCTCGCACGCCTTCCACCCCCTCGACGGTTGGTCCCAGAGTGTGCCCTACCACGTTTTCCCCTTTATCTTCCCGCTGCAGAAGCTCGCCTACGTCTTCCTCTTCGGTTTCATCAACTTGTGGACCGTCTTCATTCATGACGGAGAGTACGTCGCAAACAGCCCCATTGTCAACGGTGCCGCTTGCCACACCATGCACCATCTGTACTTCAACTACAACTACGGCCAGTTCACTACCTTGTGGGACCGTCTGGGTGGTAGCTACCGCAAGCCTAACGAGGAGCTGTTCCGCCGTGAGACCAAGATGAGCGAGAAGGAGTGGTCGCGCCAGTCCAAGGAGATGGAGACTATTCTGAAGGATGTCGAGGGTGATGATGACCGCACCTACTCTGCTTCCACTCAGACGAAGAAGAACCTATGAGGGAGAAGTACCTTTTTTTTGTCTTTGAACTCTTGTTTTTATATTTTAAGGTGCAGCGACCTGCACATGTCCCGAGTCGAGCTTGGTCTCTTATTCTCGAGGGCCGTCCTTGGGAAACTCCCTTGACCTTTTGCTGCCGCGGTGATCCTCATCCGTGCCCATCCATTCTCCCACCCTTTCCCCGTTTACGTACATTACCATTAATCATGCGCCGTGCACATCCCCATACTCTGTTTTAATTTCCCCCCAAAAAAGGGCCTGACCGGGTGGTCCGCGGTCTGCCGCATTGTCTGTACATACATTTTCTTGACCATGGCGACCAGAATGCATTGTGACGATTTAAAGTTTTACTATTTCTTATTTCCTGATCTACATTGCATGTATTCTATATTCGATATTTGGTGTGCATCCGCACAAACTATAAATACTGTAGTATCTGATCCGAAACTTAAATGTAGTTTGACTTAAAGTTAACATGCAGATGCACCGAAGACACAATATATCTATCTCAAATCGACCTACTTCATACCCAACCCGTGGCTGGCTGAACGGAAACAATACCCCCAGATCAAACTCAGCTGCTATCCGATCATGTATATACCCAGAGTACCACTTGATCACACAAATACTCAATGATCGACACCACGCGGTAACACAAACCGCCACCTTATCCATAAACCCCTCCACCCATGTCAATGTCACTTGTCAGGCGGTGGACCCAGCGGACTCGCCGTGTGTGATGCTCTATGCTGTGTGATGGGTAAGCAGACCTTGCATCCCAGCACTGACATTCAGCTACGCCGCAATTCATGCACGAGATCTTTTTTGGCTTGATCATGCTTTGCGTTCAGTACATATTGTGGGGCATACCAGCGAGTATTGGAGGATGAACGATGCAGCACTCAGCTATTGAGGAAGTATATGTAGTGTCGACGAGGTGATGATGTGCATGGGCTTATTTGTCATGATTCAATTTACGTGTGATGGTAGCAGAGTCTGTGCTGGAGCTGAATTTTGATGTCCCTTAGTATTCTATTTCCAGCAGCTACAATAATTTTTGGTCTTCTATCCATGACCTCGAGCGAATTGGTCTCATGCCGAGATATCATCGTGAGATTTATCAAGACATGACATGCTAATACTCCCAAATCTACTATAACCAGCCATCCCATTTAACTATTACCACTCCCACCCCTCCCCCTCCGAATAACAACGCACCTAGACCCATCTCTCCTATGAAACCCATTCGCCAAACAATCCTCCTCGGTATTAGGCCAAACCTCCGCTGTAAACCCATCCTCCTCCCCCATTCTCCCCTGTTGCCCCCTCATGCCGGAGAACATCCCAACAACCCTCTCAGCCTGCATCCTATCCCCGCATTCCAAAACCGTAATACTAGCCCGTACAGCCAGCGATATCCCTAGGATGCGGCGGTAGAATATATCTTCGGGTTTATCGCCTGTCTTGCCGGCGGCATCGGTATTGGCATGCACGTGGGGTGGAACAAGTGCTAATCGAGGCTCGAAGAGCCGTACACTTCGGGCGGTTGTCCCGTTGTGGAAATCGGTCGTTGAGATGTAGGGCGGGTTGGAGATTAGGAGGTCGATTTTGGGCAGAGAAGCTGATGATCCATCCGCGGGCTCAGGTCCGGGTTCAAGTTGAGTAGTGTATTTGGATAGAAGGTCTTCCACGGTTGGAATAGAACCATCATTGATGGTGCTGGCGCTGGTACCGGCGCTGCTGCTGGAGCTCAACACATCCGCACGATGAAATCGAATTTCTTCACGAGCACGACTACCCAAAACATCTAGACCGATATTATGCTCCAGATTCCTTTGCGCAAGATTCAGCGCTATAGGACTCAGATCAAGGCCCATAATCTGGATCCTTTCAAAATGCGACGCGAGGAGCGCATGCAAAAGCAGCGCTATACAACCCGTTCCCGTACACAGATCCAGAATTCGAAGCGGTCTCGTCTTGCTAGATGGTGACGGACTATTCTTGTCCGTTTCCAGCGCCATCTGACGGACTAGTCTGGCTGCTTCGTACGTATAGGACTCCGTATCAGACCTAGACGGTGGAGTTAGCTTGGCTGTACCAATGCAAAAATGTTGATATGTTTATTTTGTGGAAGCGGTTATTCACCTTGGAATTAAAACTCCCCGTCGACAGAGAATCTCCAGGTCTCCGAATGGTTGGTCACCTAGGATATATTGCAATGGAACGCCCTGGGAGCGCTTGTGGCACATCGTTCGTAGACGTGTCCGCCATCCTAGTCGCGTTCCTGTGGCATTGGGGGAGTGTTCCCGGGCGTCGCGAAGAGCGCGTTCTCGGATCCATCGAAGTTCGTTACGGGCTGTGTCTAGTGATCGGCATTCCTTCAGGAGGATGGATAGAAGGGGATTCTCCCGATAGGCCTTGAGAAGTAGTGAGGTCGGGATTCGTGGCATTTTGTGAGGTGTAGAGTCGCGTGGAGGTTGGTTGATGATGCCAAGCACTAACCCGCCAGTTCGTTAAGTTCGGCTACCTAGGATGATCGACACAATACAAAGCTACAGCTGTATTCAACCAATAAAGATATGACATGGAAAGTTTCAAGTAAAGTTGTTTAAATATTGACAATCGTTGAATTTCGTATCACGTTAAATAGAGACAAATATGTACTCATGAGTAAAAACAAAAACAAGACCAGGTATTCCTAGACTCCAATACACCGCAAGAACATGCAACAAAATGTCTAAAATGGCAGAGAAAAATAGACCCAAGTCTATATCAGCCCCAAATCCATTCCTTTAAAGCGCCAACAAAGCTCCGGCTCCGGCCAAACCGAGAGCCAGTTGCTTGGGCATGCTCGTTTGCCGGGGCATGGCGGCATTCTTCGTCGCTTCTGCGGATGAGAAGATACCAGTGCCTCCATTGGGGCCGCCAATGCGAGCCCCAGTGCCTACAGCAGCCACGGTCGTCACGGGGTTAGCGACGGCTGTAGCGCCGGGAACTGAGTCGGAGCCGGTCGTGATTTCAAGAACGTTGTTCTCCGTCGAGTTGAAGTTGGTGTTGGCGAGGGAGATCTCATTGTTGGCGAGGTCGTACACCACGTAGGCGCTGCGCAGGAATGTGTCGCCCAGGACGGGGATGCTGTCACCAGCGGGGACGATGCCAAAGGCGCAGGCGCGCTCGCCGTCGTTGAAGAAGTAGTCGCCAATGTCAAGGAGGAGCTCGCTCATGGCTACGTTGATGGTGGGTGACGAGAAAGTGAAGGAGATGTTGACGTTTCTTGAGCTCTGAGTGCAGGGCAGATATCCAACGCCGCTGGAGGAATCGTAGGTGACGTCCAGATCATTGAAGATATCTTCGACAAGCTCGTCCGGCAAGTAAGTCAAGGAGCTGCCCGAGTCGAGCAGAGCCGCGGCTGGCAGTGTACTGGATGAGTAGTTGGTGGTACCGGATGAGTTGGTGAGAGCCACGGCAGTCAGGGCGATGATAAACTGGGAGTAGCCGCCTCCGACCTTCTGGATTGGGAGAGTCTCCAAAGTGCCGTGGTACTTCTTAGTGTTCACACCACCGAACAAAATAGAGCCAGTGCTAGCATCCAGGTCGTTCAACCACAAACTATAAGCGCTGGACTTGATGAGTCCTTTATTGACCATGGCCTTGGGGAGGTTGGCGTAGGCACTCTCCCCACTCACACCAACTTGAACTTCGTTCGATGGGTATCCAATTCCCAAAACACCCTCTGTACCACAATATTAGCTTTCCGTTGTATATTAGAGGAGGAAAGGTTTATTGCTGGCTGCCACATACCGGAGGAGCTTGACGTGAAGCCAATGCCAAACTGGAAATCCTTCAATGTCGCCGAGCCAATTGCAAGGGTATCGCTGACATAGTCGCCCGACGCACCGGAGCCATCTGCATAAGTGATGTTGAAGTCGGAGTTCACAAAGGCGTAAGTCGAGGACGAGCTGGAGTCGTAGGTGCCGGATACGTTGCAGGGGTTGCTCTTCTTTTCACAGAGGGTCGAATTGGGTGCGTTTGCCCAGAGATCACTACTACCAGTGTCTAGGACCAAGCGCAAGCTCTGTGCCGGTGTTCCCAAAGTGACATTCGAGAAGTAGAGAGTTTCCTATAGCCTACTATTAGCTCTTTATCAAGACAACGACGAGATGGGAAAGATCGGCGGCTGTAGTAGTTGACATACCTCATTGTCTAGAGCCTGGGAAACCGTTGAACTCCGCTTCATCCGTCGCACTCTGTCTCGAGCCACAGGATCCGAAACGTCTTTCCGCTGAATACCCATATCAACCACCGATGGAACATCCCGCTGAACGAGATTCAGCTTCCCCAGCGCCGGTACGGCGAGGGTCGCCAGCCAAAGCCAAGAATTCTTCATGCTTGCTCGCCGTTGGCCGAAAATAGACCGAGCTCCCCGGTAGGAATGTGTGGGATCGGTATGCCGCCTTTCACTTTGATCTGATCGGCACGATCTTCACCGCTGCAGGTTCCCGAGGAATGCGCCGGAAATGGAAATTCGAGATCGCGGGGAGAGGGGTCGGGTTAAGTCGAGATGGTGAGGATATCTCGAGAGAGAGACGGCGAGATGTGAAGCTGTGGGAGAGGAAGAGAGTCGTGAAGAAGAGAAAAGAGAACGAGAAATATGGAGTCTAAAAGATTGAAGAACATGTATGCGGCGGCTGTGCCGGAGAGGCGATGGATGTCGTATGCACTTCCCCCCCCCAGACAGCACTAACTTGGTTTGCTGGAGTGTCCAGGCGGCTTTGGCACACCTCGGGCCAGCCGGGAAAGATTGACAGGTTCATTATTTGTTCAACGGCCAGTCAGCGGCCCACGAGTGGACCATTGACTTTTTTTCTTTTCCTTCTCGTAAGCGCTGTAAAAACCACCGTGGAGACGACAGTGCAAGTCACTCGGGTAAGGCGCTGGTTGAGAAGGGCCCCACAAGGTCGAAGCTGTCGTCACCAACTTGGCGTCTACCCAAAAAAAAAAAAAAAAAAAAAAAAAAGGAGTGGAAGTGTTACAATGGTAGGGTAAAGGGTGCAAGTCATGGAGAGTACAGACTTGTACTCTATTCGACTCCTCTCATCTCTTTCCCCTCATCATCACCATAAGTCCCCGACGGGAAAAGGCCTGCGGGCAATGCAAAATTGATCTGGCGTACGTATGCAACGTACGTGGTTGGGTCGAGCGCTGATGACGCGGATGGATGACGCTCCACTGCCACCAGCCCGTTTCTGGCTTAGCCCCGTGACCTAGCAAGAGCCAAGACTTTGATTCTTTTGCTTAAGTGGGACTTCGTTAACGGTCTATTAGGAGAGGGTCGATTATTTCAATATCAAGAATGATTCATGTCGTGATTGTTAAAAGTTACTATTAGACTTTGATGTCTTGTCGTCACCACGTGTGTCGGACTTTTTTGAGCTGGACCTGCCGATCCTCGAACTATATTTTTTGTCAAATACGAGATATCGTACAATATTTCCCCTGACGAATAAATTCATCGGAGATAACACCAGACGGACACTACAAGTACATTTGATGACAATGCATAGGGCGCTGACGAGTGCATTTTTGACTTTGTATACTGCGCCATACAGTACATTCTACAGAGTATATTCCACAGTAATACCCTCATGTACGGAGTATGTGGCTTCAAATGTGGATAATAACCATACATTATCGACAATCATGCATCAATACCGTCTCCACAAATATTCTAATCCTTATAAATCTTTACTGCTGCCTGCAATGTCTCTATTTAAGATCCAGTCCCAGGGTCACCCGGGTGCATAGCCACGGCGGCAAATCCATACAGCCACCGGACCAGGCGGCTACATAACCAAAGCTTACGATCGGCCGATCATGGGGATCTACCTTAACTCCGATGGATCATGGATCATGGAAGGTCTAGATAAATTAATCGTGGCAAATGTGCTAAACATGTCTCAAGTAGATTCTGGTATTCCAGCCCTTCCGATATCTATGCTCCATGCTACTGTAGTCTCTTACTACTATGATACTATCAGTTTACTACAGTATGCTAGTCGACACCATATATCAAGTGGCTGGGATGGGCCACTAGTCTCCCCACTATTCTAAGACTCAGGGTCTACTAAGCTAAGCGGGTATGAAGAACGATATTAAATAGTACAAGTAAATCTAGTGGCCCCCCTTATCCCTGAAACACTGAAACAACGAGCATGCACCCGAACTACACTTCGGGACGCCGGAAGCCCTGTCCATTACTACTACTCCCGGCATAGTCTTGCACCATGACGTACCCCCACGTCTCCAACTAAAAGGAACTTATCGAAGATGCGAATTTCCTACCGTATTTGGACTCTATTATCCGATTATATAATACACGGGTCTCTGCCACGCAGACCCCCCCCCCCCAAAAAGGTAAATGTTAGTACAAGAGCCGTCCACACTAAACACATCATGTAAACATCTCAAATTTACAACCCCATCGCATCTCGAACCTTCCGCATAGTCACGCTAGCATTGGCCTGCGCCGCCGCCGCGCCCTGTTGCGCAATCGAGTCCAGATACCCAGTCTTGTCGTCCATAATAGAGACATACCGCTCCCGAATATCCGTCAGATGATGCGTGATTCGGCTAGCGACGTGCTCTTTCAAAGCGCGTAGGCTTGCGCCGTCGAAACTCGCGGCAATTTCTTGGCATGACTGTCCTTCGAAATGGCTCAGAATCTCGATTAGGTTCGACACCCCGGGTCGTTGGGCTGGGTCGTAGGTGATGTTGGGTTGGGAATCGGTTAGGGCGACTTTGATCTTCTTTTGGATGACGCTGGGTGAGTCGGTGAGGATGATTCGGGATTTTTCGTCTGCGTGGGATTTGGACATTTTGGATGTTGGTTCTTTGAGGGACATTACTCGCTTGGCGGGGGCTTGGATTCTGTTAGATAGGGCATGTTGTTGTATCGCGAGGGGATCATCCGACTTACAGATATGCGCCTCTGGGATGGGGAAGATCGGCCCGTAGAGGTGATTGAAGCTATTGGCTGTATATCTCGAGAACTCCAAGTGCTGTCTCTGATCCTCGCCAACGGGGACATGCGTTGCCCTGTGAGATGTGGTCAGTGACGCTCTCATGCTCGAAACATAGACGGAGATTCGTACCTATGAACAAGGATATCCGCGGCTTGAAGCACTGGGTAAGAGAAAAGGCCGAGTCGCAGCTGTGCCCGAGCATCTGCTTGCTCTAACGTCGTATCCTCTGGAAGCTGGAGTTTGCTCTGCATGAAGTCAGTCAGCAGTCACTCCTAATATCTCTGGCTATCCAGATATTGCAATCAGGCAGGGTACTAACCTTCCATTGAGTCATTCGCGATAGATAACCCATCGAAGCAACGGTACTCAGAATCCACATCAATTCCGCATGAGCCGGAACCTATTTGATATCTCATTAGAACCCAATTCCATTCATCCACTCTCAACTCTCCAAGCTCCCGTATCGTACGAGACGAATACTCCAAGAACCACATACCTCAGATTGATAAAAAACCGTAGACCGACTCGGGTCCAACCCCACAGCAAGCAGCGTAGCAAAAGCCTCTCTCCTCCATTTCCTCAACTGCGCCGCATCCTGCGGAACCGTCAATGCATGCAGATCCACGATGGAAAATAACAGCTTCGTTCCCGGCTTCGCTTCATCCTGTAGCTTCACCCATTCCCGTAAAGCTCCCAGGTAGTTACCCAAGTGCGGCACTCCAGTGGGCTGAATGCCGGAGAAGATGACGGGTTCTTGAGCTGGTGGTGTGTTGGTGCTCGTGCTATTTGACCGATACAAGGATGGCCGAACTGAGGTGCCCGGGCGAACGCGGTTGAAGTGCCCGCCCACCAATCTCAGGGATGCGCTTCCCTGGTGGGAAATTGTGGCACGCATCGCTGATGATTCTATGTATGCGTCGCAAAGTAAATGCGACGATTGGGTCGAGTGCAATTCTTCGTGGATTTCCGGGCCTCCGCGCCGCAAAACATCCAATTGTCACGTGATTATATCATTGGGCCTATCGACAGTCGATGAATAGTCAACTAAGCATTGTTAACAAAGCATTCCAGGATTATTTTGGAATTATCTAGCTTTTTACAATAGCCCGTGCTAGTGTTGTTGCCACGTCTCGGCCATTTGGTAAAAATCAATCAAAAAAGCAGACTCCAGTTCTTCATTGACGTCTGGCTATAATCAAAGTAGAGTACAGATGGGCCTGGCCAGAGCCACAAAAGGCCAAAGATGATGACGATATAAAACTACATGACGCCCGGGTGTTTCCCAAATAAACACACACACAAATTATGCAAAGCTCGAGCAACAAACCAAAATCCTCTATCCAATTTACAGGTTCTTGCGCTCGGCAAATCGGTCGCTGTCCAGCGCATCGAAGATAGTCTCCTTGACTGAGTTGTCCTGTCGTTGTCCGAACTGTGCAAGGTGTGGGCCCACGGTCTTTTGGATCTCGGGGAGTGAGGCATCCAGTGCCTTGGCGGCATCTATTTCTATGTGTCAGTCGTGCGATTCTATAACTTGCGAATTCAAGAATCATCATACCCAGGCTCTCATTCTCCCAAACGTTGGCCTTCATACCGACTCCGTGGAACGCGTGTTTCCGAAGGAAAGCCAGCCATGCCTGGACCGCTTGCGGGTTGCCATCCTTGATCTGGATCAGACGGCGGAGCGTGATCCGTTCAAAGTTCTCCTTGCTCTTCTTGTGTACGAAGTTACTGCGAGTCACGGTCCAGCGTTCGGTGATACGGGGGAGGGGCACGGGGCCGGAGACGGGGAGGTTGAGGTAGTAGGCGGCACGGATGGCAAAGTCGGCGAAGAACTCCAGGTTCTGCACGCTGTAGGATCGCAGTTGAAGGTCGCAGACGGGGAGGCCGTGCTCCGCCTTCCTCCGGAGGGGACGAAGATAGAGGGCCTGGACGCTTCGGGGGAGTCGGGCGTGCTCACCAAAAGCTCCTAACCGCTCGGACCTGGGATCTGTATGAGCTGCGGACTCTTCGATTCTGTAGGGGTAAAGGTGATGCGATTGACTGACCATTCCTTCACGGGCAGTTCGGCGGGTTGCTCGGTGTTCGTGGGACTGTAGTGTGAAACCAATTCCATCAGCCATTCTGCTCCTGGCACGAATAATCTTCTCAGGGTTCACGGTTTCTTACGCGACAGAGGTGGGAGTCGGCTCGGGCTTGGTCTGGGAAGGTGTAGTCGCCTTCTCGGTGGATGGCGCATTGGTCTGGCTCGGGGTTGATAGTGAGCGAATGGGCATAGGCACCTGATTCCGAGTCCATTAGCTTAGTTTCGATGGATGATATTGGATTTCAAGCGTTCCACCTACCCGCAGGCGCTTGCTAGCTCCAATCAAGGAGCGCGTTGTGCTGGGAAACATGGTCGTTGGTGGTTGCAGTCTGTTTGGTGCGGGTTTTTTTTCGGAGTTGAAGGTGATGCGGACTGACCGCCTTGGGAGTCGACCATTGGGGCGTCCTCGAGTGCACCCACGGCTACGACAAGCATCATCCAGGGCTCAGGGTTTTGATTTGTGTGGTTTTCTGGGGTTATTGCATGTGGCAGGTTTAAAAGGGTGGACGTATGGTGACTATTCGTTGTATCCTGTAGTATGTAGTGGCGTATTAAATAGGGTCACGCAGTCATAGATATATACTACCAGCCCAGTACTACTTGATCCTAACCAGGTCGCCAACGATCAGATGGAAGAGATCAAAAACACTTGATCATTATCACGGACATACAATTCCAACTAATATTATATGCCGTACATTTCAATGTCAAGAATAACACAAACAGTAGATTCCCAACCAGCAAAAGGGTAGCATCGGGGCTCCAACGACGAGCCAATAAGACTGCACGCCAACTCCGCAGCATCATGACAGCCCACCCCACCCCTCCCTCCATTCATTTTTTTCCCTTTCTTTCCATAGACATATCAGTGACAAGAAGATCAGGAATCATGACTCAAGCAGGGACCTCCGCATTCGACCGAGCCAACGAGGCCGTGACTTTCCTTAGAAGTAGCCTGCCAGAGGGTCTGCAGGCGCCCAAAGTTGCTATTGTATGTGGCTCTGGGCTGGGAGGACTGGCCGATACGGTCCATGCTGAAGGTCGAGCGGAATATGATTATGCGTCTATTCCTCATTTCCCTCGTCCGACGGGTGAGTATCTCTAAATGCCGTGGAAAATGGATGGAGAGTGAGATTGGCTGACTGGTGCAGTTGCTGGACATGCTGGGAAGTTGGTATTTGGTCTGCTGGGCCAGAAGATTCCCGCTGTCTTGATGGTTGGACGTGCCCAGTAAGTGATTATTCCAAGTATCAGGAGGGTCTGTGGCTAATTGGATCATGAATAGCTACTACGAGGGCCATTCTATGGACCAAGTCACTTTCCCCATCCGAGTCTTCAAGCAGCTCGGAGTTGATACTGTCGTGTGTAAGTTCACGCTAAAGATGCCAAGAGGTTTGTGCTTGCGAGAGGAAACTAAGAATAATGATTGACAGTGACAAACGCGGCCGGTGGCCTGAATTCTGACTATTGCGTGGGCGATATCGTCATGCTGAATGATGCAAGACTACTATCAACCCCTTTCTATCTGAACCGAGTGACTAACGATGGCTTCTAGCACATCTTCCTCGCCGGTCTAGCGGGAGTTCATCCCCTCCGAGGACCCAATGAGGAAGACTTTGGAGTGCGCTTCCCACCTCTGTCCGACGCATATGACCTGGACCTTCGTCGTCAGGTACACCAAGCGTGGAAGCAAGTCATCTCTGCGGAAAGCACGAGGAAGTTGCACGAGGGTGTGTATGCCTTCGTTGGAGGTCCCACGTAAGTTTTTCTCTAAACGGTGCATCCATCTACTGCATTCTCTCTGACTGGGTAAAGCTATGAGACGAGAGCGGAGAGCCGCATGCTGCGAATGATGGGTGCCGATGTGGTGGGCATGTCCACCGTGCCAGAGATTGTGGTGGCGAGGCACTGTGGGCTTCGCGTATTGGCTTTTAGCCTGGTCACCAACAATGCAGTGTTGGCACCCGTGCCTCGTGGCGATGAGAAATTACTCCAGGGCAAAGACGCTGGTGAGCTCAACGCCATCATCGAAGAGGGCAAGGCTGGACATGAGGAAGTCTTGGAGGCTGGCCGCAATGCGGCACTGGACATGCAGGTGAGATACATTGTCCCCACCAGTACCAGCGAATCAACGACTGACAATTGCAGAAATTGGTTTTGCAAAGTCTTGTGAACGTCTTCGAACAGGTATAGATGGGACTGTCCTTTGAGTACACATAGATACCGCCAGGTATGTATAGTCGCTGGAGAATAGACTCCAGCACACCATGAATATAGTGAAACGGCCGGTAGAGTGGTCGTTCTAATCTTATTTGATCTTCCGATTCCTCTTGGCTTGCAAGCTTTTGTAGAAAGCCTTCTTTCCACTGGTCTTGGTGGCTTGGATGTCGCGGTACTTGGACTCGAAACGCTTGTTCTCCCGCTCCAATGCCAAGACCTCCTCGACAAAGTTCTTCTTGCGGTCCTTCTTGGCGATACGACCACTGAAGAACTCGGTGGGACCCTGGATGATGGTGCCGACCTGCGAGAACTCGGGGATCTTGGCCTTGCCATTCTCCTTCTTGTAATGTCTCTTGGAGTCGAGCACCGAACGCATCCGAATGAGCTGGAGATCTCTCTTGAGCTCTGGGGTCAATTCGGTCTTGGGGAGGTTGAACCAATCGGGTCCGGCGGTAGCCTTGTCCTGTAGAATCGACTAGTCAGCGAATGAAGTTCGTAACAGGGTCGTTTCAAAAAAAATCATGATGATTGTGTGGATGCTCAGAGTAACTATGAAAATGAAGGCTCTCACTAGTGCAGCACAGCCCAAGACGGACTGAGGACGCCGCATCAAGCGCTTAGGCGTTGGGATAATTTTCCTCATAGCAAAGACGAAAAAAAAGAACAAGAACAGAGACAATGATAGACTAACCTTCTTTGCAGCGGACTTTGTTGCAACAGTCCGAAGAGAGTTGGACAGCTCCTTTTGCTTGGGATCGATGAGCTGGGCCGAATCAACGGTAGCAATTTCCTCAGCACCCGGACGCATGTAGGGCGCCAACGTGGAGCTAGTAGCCAACTTGGGAATTCTAGAAACGTGTAAGTCAATTTGTCTTGAGTATCAATAGCTAGCGAGGACAGCATACCTCAAGGAAGCGACATCGTCGACCGGGGTGACCTGGGTGTCTGAACCACGCAGTCGGTTCTCTGCTTCAAGCAACAGTTGTTGAATCTGGTCATCAGTGAGCTCCACCTCGTCTTGAGGTGGAACACTGGACCCCATAGTAATTGAATCACCCATCCCTGCAAGTCAGGGTGGAAGGTCTCGGAGAATGAAGAAGAGCTGGACGTAAGTGGGCTTTATAGGAATTTTTTTTCTGTTGATGCTCCGTCGGCACGGAGAAACCTTTATCAGAAATCTTTTCCGGGACAGCTCTGGTCATGTGACTACAGAAGTCACGGGTACTTGGTCAGCAAAGAGAAATACACCCAATTTCAAGTATTCGGTACTTTTATCAGTACTTTTGGCTGGTTTGTCGGACTTGACGAGATAGAAATGGCCCAATTATGATTTTAGATTGGTCAATTGAGGACTAGAAGCCTACAATACCCACAGTAATCTCATCTTGGAGCAATATTCCTCTAGAAAGTGTAGTCAGTAGTACAGTACCTGCATCCTCTATTCAGTACTCGACCTTGGGCTGACACGGGCGCAACTTGGGAGCGGGGGGCTTGTCCAAGAACGTCAGACAGCTGAAAGAGCACCACCTCCACGGAACCATCCCGACGCGCTTTCTACAACAACATCTAGAAAACACGCTACACTATAGCTGACTCTATATCGCCTACGCGACCGCCTTCGGCATATTCCGCGAATTCCTATATACTACGTTAATTCTGTCGCACGTCGCCCGTCCGTCGCGTCGCAACCTCGGAGCACCCCAAGCAGCTCTCCCCGAGACCTGCCTGACTACAATTCAGCCCACCGTTCTCTTGCGCGCAACGCATCCGAATCACCATGGAGCAGGCGCCCCAAGGAAGTGGCCAGCAGCAAGGCAGACAGCAGCAGCAACAGCCTGTGTACGACATTAGGAATGGCGGACACTATGGTATTTCAGCCCCCCCGGAGAGATAAGGCGGTGATCGCATAGCATCGGTTTGGGGTCTAATGCCCCATGAGAGCATGCGAAACAGGCATTATGATTGTCGCGTTTGTCTTTTGTCCTATACTAACGGTTCTTTCAGGTGCTAGCGCAGCGGTATGCCCTAATTCATCCCAACCCTCAATCCGAGTCCTCCGGCGATCGATCGATGCAAGACCCTGGGAACCCCGAAGCTAACTGGATATGAATTTGGAATAGCTCTCTGCACAAGGATATGCTCCAGTCGCTGAGCTGTACACCGGTACCTGGGCCAATGTGAGTCGCTCGCTCAAGCAATGTGGTCACCACACTCATCACTGACACTCCGTTCAGGTGAATCAAGGTCTGCAGGGCACAGCTCGCGATATCTTGACGACTTACTGGCAGCATGTCATCAACCACCTGGAGACAGACAACCACGACTACAAGATCCACCAGTTGCCTCTTGCTCGAATCAAGAAGGTGATGAAGGCCGACCCCGAGGTCAAGATGATTTCCGCCGAGGCCCCCATCTTGTTTGCCAAGGGCTGTGACATCTTCATCACCGAGTTGACCATGCGCGCCTGGATCCACGCCGAGGACAACAAACGCCGCACTCTCCAGCGATCCGACATTGCTGCTGCCCTCTCCAAGTCCGACATGTTCGACTTCTTGATTGACATCGTTCCTCGTGAGGAGGCCACCTCCCATGCGAAGCGCTCTAGCCAGGCTGGCGCCACGGCCCCTGGTCCCGCAGCAGCTCCGGGCCAGATGCCTCCTGCCCAACACGGTGTGCAGCCGCACATGGGCCCGGCAGACTACGGTTCTCTGGGTCAGCACGGTATGGCGCAAGAGCAGGAGTATCGCCAACAACAGGCCATGTACCCTGGTGCAGTCCAACAGGACCCGACGGCTGCATACGGCCAGCCACAGCCTCAGATGTTCGAAGGGATATATGCTTACCCTCACATGCCCCCTCAACAGGTTCGTATCATCTCCCTTCCAACCCTTTCCCGACTTAAGTAAAAGACTAACACCGTTCAGTGAGCCACTAAAATCGGGCGCATTTGGTTATTCAATGTTTTGACTCGATAGTTACGCGTGTGTCTTCCCCGGCGAATACTGGCCTTTTTGGTTGTCTGTGCTTCTTTCATGTTTCGTCCCCCTTTGTCCAATGGACAATTTATTTTTCGCTTTTCTATTTCCTGCCAGATTAGGGCAAATCTGATACCTGTAGTCGGAACCGGGAAAGAAGGTGTGGTTCCGTCCGGAATCGCAACTGGAGTTGAACTTGTTCATTATTTCTATCTTTGAATCAGACACGATTACATAGAGGTTGCTTCAAACTCGATTAAACTCTGCTAAAGCTAGGTGGGGTTCCTCCAAGTACCAGATGAATGGTCTCGGCCCACAAAGTAGAATTCTCGTAACACGCTAAGGCATGTCTACCGGACTATGAAGATTTCTTGAACCGTGATGACAGATTCACGAATTTGTCCACCTTGGTGGGCACTTGGACTGTTCGAGTCAACCTGGAAGAAGGGGGTCAGCATAATCCAGGACAAACGACTGGGAAAGGATCGTACTTCTCAAGCAAGATAGGCCCCTGCATGGCATCGACACGTCCGTACTTCTTATTACGCGTCGAAATATCGTAAAATTCATCCGCATTATCCGCTTGCATCAGCTGCACCGTTTGTTGCAGCTCGTCCAGGTTCTCACGCAAGATAGGCACGTTCAGGCTATCCACGAACTGTGTAAGGTACTCGACATCCTTGGCCAACGCGGTGACACCGTTAGGATTGATGGTCTTGACCTCGGGAGCCAGAGGTTGAGCCTGTGAAATACAGTCAGTCAAACTGGTACCCAATATAATGTGGTGCGATGAACGGGGGTAGGATCCTTACCAAGATCATGTTTGCGGCATGACTGAGCGCGTCAAAGTAGATCAACTCTTTGATTTCAGTTGGCAGCCCGAGTAAGGTGGAGTTCATAATGTTAGACAGGAATCGCGTCAGAGTCTGCATGTAGTTGCTGGGTTCGCTGGGAGGGTTAGGCGCCATCCATTCATATTCTGCCGTTTCAATAAGATCGTCAATCTTGGAGTTGACCACCTCGAATATTCGCTTCTCAGCGGCCTTTTTGTTGCTTCTGAATTTCTCGGTGGCTCTGAGCGCGATGGAGGTGCCAGTCGAGTTCTGTGACCTTGCAGCCGCCAGGAGAAGTTCCAGTTCGTGACAGGCCAGTTCAAAATGTTCCAGGTTGATCAGAATCTGAACGATCTGTCCAAGATACTGCGAGGAAAGACGCTCCACCAGGGTATCGCAAACCTTTCGAGAGAGAAGATCATCCAGCGCCTTGAATTTGAGATTAGCAACGCGTGTTCTAGATGGAGTCCCGGTAGATGGCAGCCACTTGCCTCCTTTAATGTCTCATCAATAACATTTGGGTGAGAAAAGTCGTCGTTTGCAAAGAAGTAGAACTGGTTCAAAAAATTCCGAATATCGATGCAGCACAATGGATACATCCTTGAGAATGGCAGGATGCATGGGAAACTGTTCCGTGATTTAGTGATTTAGCTTGTTGTAGTTCATGCGGCTGTAAGTCCGGGGAGATCATACACTTGTTCATCGCGTGGCTTTTCAGGACTGTACCAGCTCACGTTGAGCACCTTGTCATACTCTTCTAGGGTCTGAATAGGCATAGGCATGTAGTCATCCGTGGACACGATCTAGACGCGTTAGATTTAGAAAGGTCTTGCTGTAAGTTCGGAGGGCAACTTACCTCTTGGAAATCATCGCTAAACCGCCTCTTGAGTAGCTCCGCGTACTTTTCAAACAGTTTCAATAAGAAGTCGTCAAAGACTCTGACGGAAAAGCCCCACGTCTGTTTGGGGGGTTGATAGGGCGTATTAGCCTCGCTGCCTGAATCAAGTCGAGGGAGGGGAAAGGACCCGCTTACGTTCATTGTCTGCATGAACAGCGCAATCAGATTCTTCGTCTTCAAAATGCTCTCCGCGTTGTCTACTTCATGCAGCGCCTTGGAAATCACACCAACCGCGGCCTGGCACGATGAGTCCCATAGTTCATCGATCTACCACGCGTCAGCAAGCCCATAATGGCCGAATTCGAGCGATTGAACAAAAAATCTCGAGATACCACCACCTACATCAACGGAGGATCTCAAATCCGGCACTCTTTTCATCGTTGCTCGCTCAACAATCGCAAAGCCTGCCATTTCCTCCAACATATTATGAAGACTGGCACCGTCCTCATCTACGAGCGTGATGGACGCAGGAAGCAAAAGGTCTTTTTGCCGACGTCGAGTATTCGCGTACTCGATCTTGAACTTGTCCATCTGCCCCAAGGACTGGTGAATGTGCAAGCACTCGAACAAAGGCGCAAAGGGAACCTGGAGATCGTCGTTCTGTAATAGATCGTACTCTTCATCTTCATCTGCCACGAGCTCAATCGCAGAGTTTAGATTGAAGCTTTCAAGATAAGGCATCTTCTCCGCGCGTTGCTTCAATCTTGACTTGCGTTGGTCCGTGTGGAATAAAGCTAACTCCCCGAGAAAAGGTGACATTTCTCGAATGCGATACAGCCACGTATTCAAGTCCGACATGACAGCTTCCGCAATGGCCCGCTGAGTGGCAGGTACCGAGCGTTGAATCATCTCCGCGATCTTGTACTGCGTGACACCCTTGAGATGCACATTTTGCAACTCCTCCAGCGCCCGCAATGCTGCATAGTGATTCTTCTTGGCTAGCAGGTCGTGGACCTGATTCGCCAACCGCAGAACCTCGAGACAATCTTGAATGGCGCGCGACGTTTCGTCAATATTCTGCCGATGACTTCGAGACTCAACCAAGGCCTTCTTTTGTTCCGCAAGACGCTCCGTACTTGTTTGTATGGACTGGTTGAGGTCGAGAATCTCGGCAGTAAGGGTGACGGTGCCTTCACGGATACGGAGGAGTGAATTGACCGAGGAGACGAAATCTTGGTGATTCGTGTTGCAGATACTCTCAATCTCCGCCTCTTTATCACTTGCAAATCGTGATAGGGACTGGAGGAGCTGCGGAGTTCGGTTGCCGACGCTGTACTCCCGGATAGAGGGAATGAGCTGGTCAAGGTAGTCCGTGTCCGACGGCGAAATGATGATCTAGAGTACCAGTCAGCACGCCAAGCTCCTGGTTACTTGAAGGACACAACTGACTTGGTTCAGCACGCTAGTTCCATTAGGCAATGCCATCTTCTCATCGAATTTGATGCCGTTATGGCCTGGAATCAACACCGACTGACGTTGCTTATCGCTATCGGCAAGCTTAAGAGATCCGACCATTTTGTCCTCTTTTGGTCTAGCGCGTGCACGGGCCATATCAAATTGAACTATAAAAATCCAGCCGTAACTGGAGAGGTGTTGTCTTGGGCAAAGTGACTTTCAAGAGGAGATAAAAGTGGATGGAAAGGAAGGGGAAAAAAGGGAAAAAAACAAAAATGCACGAAGGTACTGTTATGCCGTGTTTCTGCGAATGGCGTTCCCGTCTTACACGAGCCAACTACTGACATTAATAGGGATTCTAATTACTTCCGGCGTACAATCTAATGCCGTCGCGTACTTCTCCGCGAATGAATTCTTTTTCCGAGAAGCGTTTAGCAGTGATTTACGGAGGATTGCACACCAATCTAAATATCTTACTATGTATACGTCAATTACTCGGCGGGCTATTCCCGCGGTCTCCTTCGCGCTTTCTACTCTACAACCAGCTTAAATGCCACCAATCTGGCATTGTTATATTTCGTTACTTTCTAAGCGCCAGATCTTCCAATCCCGCTGAGCATCGTGAGCATGAGTTCCGCGAGAAGCGCAAACCCAGGCATCCATGGCAGTACCGGCCAATCGAGAGCCTCGAATATCTTCCGTTATATTCCTCGCGCCAGATCGTCCAATGGCGCGTAGCGGCTCCAGCATGGGATCTGTACCAAGGCAACGATGATCGTATCGGCCAATGGACTCGAGGCGTTTGATATTGAGTCTCCGCTTTTCCCCCGACTTCCCAACGGTTTCGCCGGGGGGCAATCGACCTAGCATACAAGCTCCGAATTAAATACCACCTGTTAGCCCCCAGATTCTCAATTCTTTTCCTCTCCACGACTTCTATCCTTTTCAACTTTCTCACCCTCCTTTCCAACACCCATCTTGAGGAAAATACGGCTGGGTTGCTGCACTGAGCTGCCCTTCGTCTTCGAAAACTTCGTTCTGATACAGTCGTCTCCTTATTTTCAAGTCTTTCCACCTCACTCATCTACGCTCAAGATCCTTTCGACGCTTCGTAAGTTTTCATCAACTACCTTCATTGGTTTGGACGTCGGAAACTTCATGCATGCTAACGACTCGACTCAGGAAACCCCCCTCTTGATATCTTGACGCGTCAAGTTCATCATGAGTGACAATTATCCTGACGGGATCCCCCCAATTACGGGCTTGAGACCTCAGGGCTCTTCGATGCCTCCGGAAAATGTCCATCTTCCCGCTATTTCTGGGAGTTCCAATGATCCCCCGGCATCCCAGGAGATGCTTCCCTCGAGTTTCGACCTCCCTGTTACTATTGGTAGCCCTGATGACCCTCTGGCGAGTCTCAGTTTTGAAGAATGGAAGGCTCGCGACTTCCGTGCAACCTCGCCAAAGATCGAACTTCCAGCTTGGGTGACTAGACCTTGGTCACCGCCGCGCCCTCTGTAAGTTACTTTGTTTTATTCCATCCCATTGCCCCAGAAATATCACGAAACTTGAACATATCTGTCCAATGTGCCGAGAGTTTTTGTGGCAAGTTCCATTATCAATGCGTGAGGGTCACATTTCCGCGATTGAGTTCTCCCTTTCTTCTTTTTCTTTGTGATGACAGAGCTAATCAAATTTACTAGTCATCCATTGGCCTACATTCATCTCCCTGACAGCGAGAACCCTTACGTTGTTGGCCAAGAGCCTCGCCGTGATTCTTCTTTGGATCATCAGGCATCTTCCTTTGAGCCTCAGGATATGAATATTCCGCAGACCACCGGCTTCAATGATCCAGGCCCTGTTCGCCTTAGTCTGCAGTACCCTCCACCTGGGCTTCCGAATCCATATGCTGTCAACCAAGTGACGCAAAATGGACAGCCTGGTCCAAGTCCTGCTCATCGCGGTCCATTCTTAGGCCCATCCGAACATCCGAATCCTTACGCTGCTCCTGGTTTCCCTTCGCACCTGTCACCTCCTGGGGCATGGCCTTATGCGCCTGGAAATGATCATCCTGGTCCAAGTGCCGCCCATCATGGTCCAGTCTCGGGCCCATTTGAACATACAAATGCTTATGCGGCTCGTGATTCCACTTCACAGTACCCGACACCTGCTGGGGCATGGGCTTATGCGCCTCGAAATGATCATCCTGGTCCAAGTCCTGCTTATCGCGGTCCATTCTTAGGCCCATCCGAACATCCGAATCCTTACGCTGCTCCTGGTTTCCCTTCGCACCCGTCACCTCCTGGTGCGCTGCCTTACGCACCTCATGGTATGAACACCCCGCAGACCAGCCCCTTCGATCATTGCGGTCCAGTTCATCCTGGTCTGGCTTCCCACCCTTCTGGACTTCCGAACTCTCTTGCTACTTTTGGTCCCCCTTCGCAGTCTCCAATACCTGCTGGTGTATACCTTCCTCGAGCTCATGGTACGGATTCTCGGTGGATGCCCACCTTCGATCACCCTGGCGTTGCTCGCAATCGTCAATTTCTCCCTGATGAAATGCCCCGAGAGTTTGATGCTACTCGTGCTTCCCTGAATCGGCGCCACGCATTTACTTTACCATCTCGTGACCAACATGTTTTGGACATTCAGCAGATTGCCAGCGTCGGTCGTCCTGATCCGGACTACCCTCAGCCTGATCATACTGCTCGTAACTTGGCTCCATCCTCCCCTGGTATTCGCTCTAACCGCCCTGGCCAAACCCGCGGAGTGACTGCTCCCGAGACTCAGCTTGAGCGTCGTGTGTCTCGTGCACCAAACCAATTCGAAAACTCCGCTCGCTTCTATCTGGTGAAGGGAATTGACACCGATATCGAAGGTTGGAGCGTGCTGAAAGTGCTCGAGGTATGTAATATCTGATGGTTCCCGGATGATTGATGAATACTAATTATGTGACTAGCTTTTCACTTCGACTATCGGCCCGGTCCTCACGGAGTTGAACACCAAGGGTCAATTTCACGTCGGCTTTGAGGATCTTGATGAAGCAGCGCAAGCTGTCGGGTTGTTTAGCAATTTCCCAGATTGGCTAGTTCTGTCCTTGTCAAAGCAGCAATTCAACCAACAGACCATGATGGCCTTCCCTATGCCCCAGGAACTCGGTGACACGGTATTTGTTACTCTTTACTGCGGCCCCCAAACGGATGTCGTCTCTTCAAACGCTAAGCGCCACGCGAGGGATTTCCTTGCATTGATTGGACCCGTTCGTTCCATTTGCAATGTGACTACCCGCGTGGTCGATGAAATTTCGGTGGTTCGATACTACGAGCTGGAGGTTCGATATCACATGGAGCGGTCGGCATACAACGCTATCAAGGCACTCAATGGAGTTCGACGTGATGTAAGTACAAGGGAAGATTGGTTGATTCTATTTCGGTTTTTCGTTTCTTTGTTTCCCCTCGCTATGAACAACGAAAATGCTAAACATACTATTTTCAGGGACTCATCATTGAAGTCATGCCCCGCGCGGATGATACTCACTTCACAACCACTACCAAGGCTCGTTGTGAGTTCGAAAAGACCACGTTGGCGAAGGAATCCGGCCGGCGTCCACCGAAGACCCCCGCCTACCGCGGCAAGGGCCGTCGCCCCCAAGCGACCTTCCATGGCCACCGCGGTGGCGAACGCAGCAACGTGATCTCGATGGGCGAGATCCCATTCGGCAATGACGACCGAACGGCCGTAAGTACTGGGGTTTGAAAGATCCTATGAGAAAGATGGAAAGCTGATTCATCGTGCTTGATATAGGTCATGTGCCGAAACATCCCACATGTGATGGCCTGGGTGAGTGATGGTCCTTCATCTGCTTCTTTCACTTGACCAAAAGCTAACAATGTCAATAGAGGGAACTCAAGGCCATCTTGGACCTGAGTAGCGCTGGGCGCTACAACTACCTGTACCTCCGAATCAGTAAGTCACCTCTATTCCATCTCACCTCTCACGATTTTTTCTGACCATGTTTCTTTCATCTTATACTAGACTTCGGAGCCGACCTGAAGTAAGTTTTTGGAGAAGGTCGAGTGCCCTGGGATCATCTACTGACTATTTTCAAACAGCGTGGGATACGCGTTCATCAACTTCGTAACAGTAAGTGATGAATCTTCACCATTCTGCAATATATGACACTCGCTGACGTTTCTCTTAGCCTGCCGACGTGGCGGTGGTTAGTATTCCACATGGATATTCTTGACAAACTCGACTTATGCTGACGCTGCTATAGTTCGTTCGGGCCCGTGCAGGGCGTACCTGGCCCGGTTTCGAGCAATTTACTGGAAAAATTGCCGAAATCACCTATGCCGGTAAGCATCTTTTGTTCCATAATTACTCCTACCCATCTGATGACTGACACGATTCTTCTCAAACAGATGTCCAGGGATTCGGCACCCTGGTCGAGCGATTCCGGAACAGTCCGGTAATCCTCAACTTGCCGGATCGCCGGCCAAAAGTAACTATTCCTCGTCCCCCTTGACAGAAGAACAGATTGATACTGACCTCCAATCTAGTTGTTCCACACCAGTGGACCCAAGGCCGGGGGGAGGCCGTATTCCCCCAAGTCAACAATTTCTACACCCTGTCGTTGGGTGTACACCGCAGCCAGGAAGAAGCTGGTTAGTCAAACTTGTATCTAACTTGACTTTGTGAGTTGATAACTGATCACTTTTCGCAGGTCTGCACCCGGGCGGCGCAAGCCCCCAAGCCACTCGCAGAGGTGCTCGCCGCGCCCCTGCACCCCGTCAAGCCGCCCCGGCGGAGGATGACCAGGCCAACTGAGTGGCGGACGTGCCCCCAAGGCCCGGGCTCGACATGCCCGTGGCTGAGGGAAACAACATTTGTCGGAGTTTGGTTTGTGGAGTTCTTTGGCGGTTGGGTTTTTGCTTTTTTGCTTTTTCTTTAGTTTTTAGTTTTTTTTTTCGATTAATTGATGAACTGGGGCCAGTTTCATCTTGGTCTACCTCCGGGAGACTCTCGGCCGCTTCGGTTGCTGAGGTTTTCTGTTGAGATGACCTGGCTGCGACCCGGATCTTTCTTTCTCGACTTTCATTCGTGTGATGTTTAGTTCTTTCTTTTGTATTTTTGGGTGGGTCACTTACTTTCGTTCTGACCTGACCTGACCTCCTTGAACATCTGGCTGGCGCTGGTATCTATCCCCATTTCTATAGTTTTGACTTTGTAAATATCGGGTGTCGCTTATGGTTCAAGGTACCCGCCCGCGCTTAACTAACGCCTTGGCAGCGGCGGACTTGGCAACTTTGCCGCGGAAACACCCGCAAATTTGTGGATTCCCCCATTTTCTCTGCTCGACTTTACGCAACTTCGCATCATCGTGCCACATGGATACTCAGGAGATTCAGGCAGTGCATGCTGTGCTGCATTTAATCTTCCATCGCAACAAGAACCAGCACCAGCGGGCAAAATGGTGGAAGTGGCTGGCCCGACTGAAGCGCACGGCTGTTGATTTGGGATCGCGAGACGCCAGTGTCGCCATTTCGCCTGCATATAAACAGTATCTGTCTACGCATTTGATTCCGAAGTGTTACTTGTAAGTATTCCTCTCATCTAATTGTGCAGGAAGGCGTCGAGAGACCGGCTACGGATGTACATGCAGAATCTGACTGACGATCGTGATAGGGCATTCTCAACTGTCATCGCCGAAAACCAGTTTTCCACACTGGGTATCGTGCTGTTGGCGACTCTGTCCCGCTTTGCCAAGGCAACTGGGATAAAACTTGAAGAGGAGACCCGTCAACGACCCCAAGCCAAGAAGAAGACTCAGTCGGCTCCGCCCACTGAGGATCGCGGAGAACGCGTGAGTCGCGCTGATATTGGCGTGACACCATCATCGGAGCAAGAACCTCAAATGCCCCGGAAGAAGTCAGAGAAGCCTACCGCTGAAAAGGCCTCTACCGTCAAAAAGCCGAAGAAGGCTAAGCGAAAGAAGAATGCCATCGACGATTTATTCAGTGGTTTATTCTAGACTCTGTGGCACGGTACTCGCCTTACTCGTATTTACGGGCCATGCTCAGCGTCTATGAGATATGAAATTTCTATTGCGCTAGTGATGGAATGTCTCATTTCCGAGATCGAAGAGAAGAGAGGCCGGCACCTCCCAGCAAATTTACTCCAACATGATTGGCGGTCGCCCACGCCATCGTGTACAGATATTTGGGCGAAAATACTGTCCAGATGAACAGGTGTGTCCTCAGGGCAGTACATGCTGCCATGACGGACATCAGTGAGGTGGCGACGTGGAAAGTCAGCAACGAGGCTGAATTGTGATCCTCCAAGCTATCCTGGGGTCGAAGCAAATGGCCTGCTGAAACCCACCAGATTGGGCCTGCCCAGTTACTGACGAACGTCAGAATGCCAACCATCACCACGCTATAGCTGCCAACGCCGTTGTAGGCACTGGAAAGGTCGACGGAGGAGATCGCGTTCGAACCTCCAAATGCAAAGAAGGTAGTGTACTGGAGGATCAATGTCGTGATGGTCACTTCGATCCCCGTGAGTCTCATCGAAGACAGAATCAGGGCAGCGACGCGGAAAACGAGGAATAGGGGAATGTTGGTGGCTCGAGATTGGGTCATCAAGAACAGATGAAGGGCCTCGTGGAGGAGCGTATTCGAGACTACTGGCATGTGTCAGTATTCAATTTCTGGGTTGAATGGAGGGATTCGCAAGGACGAGAGGGACTGCTTACCACGCTTTGTACTCGGGCGATATCGAGCCCCAATCGCCAGAACTGCACAACACACGAGCCCTCCAAAAACGAGCCTCGCCTGCAAAACCAGTGACAGACTTTCGGGCCAGTTCTCTGCGGTCTTCGATAAGAAGGAGTCCACCAGGAGCTCCGGAGAGTCGTTTGCTACGAAGTTCAGCTTGAACATGAAGGCCAAGGCTGTTAGAGCCACTCCACCAAGCTTCAGCACAGCAGCAGGTGGGAGGCTTTGCAGAAGATGATAGCCCGCATCTGCATATGTGAACATGAAGAGACCCCAGAAAACGGCTGGGTGGGCTGGGAAGAAAGTGCGCGCGATGTCTGGTTCAGCTGCGAATTTCTGGCCAGTTTGATTCCAGCGCCGAAGAACTCTCTGGGCAACAGCGAGTCCAAGAGTGGCCAACTTGCTACCGCGAAGGAAAAGTCCTCCGGTGGTTGGGGAAGATCCTGTTCTCGGCGATTGCGAGCGAATATGCAGATAGAACATCCACCCGGAGCAAATCCAATACCAAAACTGTTGCTCCTCCTCCACATAACTGCTCGCGAACATCATACTTCCATATCCAACGATCATAAAAGCAAGGAACACACCAGTGTACGTCGACCGCGCACATTCATAATAGGTGCTGGGGAAGACCAGAAGAGCTGCAACGCCAGTGATCACCAATCCGAGGCAAAGCTTGGAAATATTGTAGTTGCTAGCGGTGCTACTCATCACGTCTTGGGCAATTCGCGAAAACCGAAGCAACGCTGATTCCAGGGCGGACGAAGTCTCATCATTCGTGATGTCGCCAGAAGAAAGCTGGAGGACTTGAGACCATGCGCACTGTGCACCTTCAATTCCAGAGTCTGCTCCCGTCGCGCAGCTTCCTGCAATGGCCTCTTGGTCAAATGCAAAGCCGGGGAACGTAGCCTGGACGGTGTTCAAGAGTTGACGTGCATTACGAGATAACATTTGGATTTGCTGGGGTCCTATTGACGAGTTAGTTGATGTAATTACGTGTTTGCAGGCTACCTCTTCCCCAAGAAACAGAGATAACTTACTGGAATCCCACATATCTAGGAACTCGGGAATAAAGACCCCTAGGCTGTTGAGGGGAATCGGCAACCCGAGAAGGCTTGCCAAGGTTGGTGTAATATCTGCTTGCTCGACTGTGCGATAGTACTGTAGATCATCAAAAGCCTCGATAGGGCTTTCTTGGCGGACCCCCAGGGCCTCGAATTTGGGCGATATGAAGAGCAGTGCTGGGGAGGTCTCGCCGGCCGATGCACCGCCATGGTTTCCGGCATCGTTCATACCATGGTCACCGCATAAGACGAACAGGGTAGACTGGAGATGTGGCTGTTGCTGGATTGCGGTGTAAACTTCGTTGACTATCGCGTCCATCTCTTGCTGTTTTGGTATCATGTACGAGCTGTCATATAGTGTTAATTACGGCGGTCGGAATTGACAATGCAGGGAATGAATCGAAAATTACCTTCTAGGCCCTGCCTTGTGGCCAATATGATCCAAACCCAAGTAATGCATGATCATAGCTGACCAGTCACTTTGTGCAAGCTCGGTAGGAACATGACGGGTTACATTCTGGTCTACTTCCACAAAGTCCTGTCGGGAAAAAGGTTAGACATTGAACCTGTTTGCGCTGAATATTGCCCTCCACAAGATCACTTACCGATACAAAAAAGCTAGTAGTACCATCGGCTCGACCAAACATGCCAGGGAAAAGTTTAAGCCACGTATCATCCCCGTACATGACGAGTTGATCTCCGCGGGCTTTCAATTGGGCTAGCCAGGTGTCCTGAGACGCAAGAGTCGACGAGGTGTCTGACTCGGCGATATTGAGGATCACATCTAGGAATGACGGAACAGAGCCGGTGGTCATGGCCTTCAATCGAGGCATGGTCACCGTCGGAGAGCTGGCATGGGCAGTAAAGGGCAATGCCACACCCGATCGAATAAGACTATAAATAGAGTTAGCTTTTGTCATTTACTTGGGGAATTTTTATCCAAATTGTTATTCCAAATTTGAATATCATCAAGACTAGTTCGTAAGAGCATTCATACCTTTGCGTGAACAAGAATCCAGACTCGTTAGAATAAACAAAGTCACTGTATTATCGGTTAGTTTATTATCTCAATTTCCAAGTCGACTCAATACAGCCCATACCTGCGCAATGCGTCTACCACCATAAACACAACTTTATCAAAGACTGCAGACGTGGCATCCTGATCACCCTCGTCGAATGTCGCAAGGCCCGAAAGGAGTGGTTTATAGGGGAAGAACCCGGATGAAAAGGTGAGAATGCCCACAGGAATCAAGACATTAGCCAGCAGAGTGGTCCAGCTGGATTGAAAGAGACCCATGATGCTCACCCCCAACAGACAAGACTTGATCTGTAAAAGAGGGTCCTCATCGGATGAGTCGCGATCTAAAGTCTCCTGGTTGTCGAGTTGGCGATACGCGACCACACCGCCTTCACCCGCATTCTACAAAGTCGCTTTGGTTGATCATCGTGGTGGATCTAGGACTATCTGCATGTACCTGTATTAAATCCACTATGCCTACACAATCTCTTTCTAGTACATTGAAAACAGTGTCGTAGTGTATCTACAGATGCAATTGACTAAGGTCGTAATCAATTAAGAAACATATATGCCCAAGGGACTCCCAACGCCGCGGAGATAATTTTGCTTCCCCTCATCCCACCGCAATTTGTCGTCAAATATCATCGTCTCTGACTTTTATTTCTTCTTAGGGCCGCCCTTCTTGTTCTTGGATCCAGGCTTCGAGAAGACGATGGAGGGACGGGTACGGCGATTGCGATGCTGCTTCTGAATGCGCCCGGACTTTGAGGAGGTCTTGGAGGACTTGTTGTCGATATCCATGGCTGTATAACAATTAGAATGCCATTCAGAGCACAATATAGCAGTGCCGGAAGGCATGGAAGGGGGTCAACTTACCCTCGTCGCCAGCAGCAGCCTTCTCGTTTTGACCGGCTGTGGGAAGAAAAAGTTAGATACGTTCTCTAGACATAAAAAACCGCTCTGCGCACACATACCAGTCTCGTCAGTCTCTAGATCCATAGTGGCCTTCGCGGGAGCCTCAGGCTTAGGCTGAGAGGCGATTTCTTGCAGCTTTGCAGCCAGACGCTCGGTGCGGGCATCGACGACTGGGCCGAACACCTTCTTGCGGAGGGCGGCTCTGTTGCGCTTAGAAACGCTTGCGCGGACACTTTTCGCCATTTTGATATGATCACTTGTATATCCAACAGAATCAGATCTGCCCTGAAAAGAAGAGTCGAGTGGAGTTTTAGAGAGGGGAATGCGACGAGGTCGTCGGCTCGAAACTTTTTTTTATCGCGATAGGCGGGCGTCTTATGTCATCCGCAACAAGGCCGGGGAACGGACAACCACCGCCGAACAAACCAACTTCACCCTCGGACTCGTTTCCACGAGGCTGACGTCCTGTCGCCCTTATAGATCTGCGCCGCGGTTCAGCGATGTATATTTGTGCGTCCATTATACCTGGCTTAGCGGCATATTGCACTCTGCCTGAGCGATGCCCATTCGAGGCTCTTTGAATCACAGCCGGAAGTCACAACTCGCACGTCCCCAGTCACAATGGCATCCTCCGGCCAACTATCAGAGATTCCACATCTCGTGGCTCTCATCAGGACCCTCACAAATCCGCAATTGAAAGAACTTCTACGAAATGAGGGCCTCGCGGTGTCCGGTGTCAAGGCATCGCTGCAGCTCCGCATCATTGACTGTTCGTTATCTCTTTCTCTTCACCCCGATCCTCTTTGTTTTCTGTTGGATGGTGTCTCTCTCTATGTGTGGCATACTTTTGGTCTCTTATAGGAATCTCTCACTTTTGTTTCTGGGGCTACATTCTTTGTGATAACTTGCTAATAATTTTGCTACAATAGATCTTGAGCGCCTCGCCAATTCCGAAGGCAATGGAGCCCGTTACGATGCCCTGAGACGACTTATCTATCAGGTCGCAATCCCCGGAGCTTCGGCTTTTCAGTCCTCTTCGCCTAGCTATCAACTCCCACCTCCACCTACTGCTCAGCCTACACCGTCGCAATCTCGACCTACATCTTTGGGTGCCATGGCTCCCCAATCCAGCTCACACGGTGCGATACCTATTCCTGCTACAATATATACATCGCCAGCAATAACTGATAAGTTTTCAGGTCGCCTGGTTTTCAAAGAAAGCCCCTTCTTCACGATCATGTCCCCTTTGACTTCGGTGATGGAATGCAAAGGTATACACCCTACCCCACCGTACAATCGCATCAATTCGTCTAACATGTACCAGTCCGTGAACAAACCAGGGATAGCATTGAGCTCAAGGTCTCGCTGAGTGCATCCACGGCGTCGGATCTGCAAACCGACCCAAACCTTCGGGTGATGATCTACTGTGCGGCGGACTCGGGCCTGAAGCAATACACCAAGTCTGATATTGCGTTCCCCCATCAAGTGGAACTCAAAGCCAATCTGGATGAAGTCAAAGCCAATCTCCGTGGTCTGAAGAATAGACCTGGCACGACCCAACCAGCAGATGTCACAGCGCATATACGCAAGAAGGCAAATTATCCTAACAACATCGTGATGACTTATGCATTAACAACAAAGGTAAGTCCTCGCTTTGATTTTCTACATAAAAATGAGCGTTACTGATACCCCGGCACAGAAATTCTTCGTGATTGCTAACCTTGTCCGACAACATCCCGTTGAAGAACTTGTCATGCAACTCAAATCCCGCAAGATCATCTCGAAGGAACAGGTGATCCGCGAAAGTAAGAACAACGACCGTTTCTGAACTGGGGACTCGACCTTCTAACATATGCCTGCTACAGTGAAAAATCGCGCAGAGGATACTGATATAGTTGCGACATCAAGTATCATGTCACTCAAGTGCCCGCTCTCAACGCTCAGAATCCAAGTTCCTTGTCGCTCAGTGATCTGCACCCATAACCAGTGCTTCGATGCGTCATCTTTCCTTGAGCTGCAAAAGCAGGCTCCCACTTGGACCTGTCCAGTGTGCTCAAAGTCCACGAGTTTCGAGTCTTTGCAGGTAGACCAGTAAGTCCTGATGCTCTATGCCCCTCTGTTCAAATGTTATTTGAGCTTGTATATTGAATGTAGCCGTGACAGATATGTTGATGACATTCTCGGATCCACATCACGAGATGTCGATTCAGTGGTTGTAGAACCGGATGGCACGTGGTCCGCGCCCAGCGATGCAAATACAGTGAATCTCGGCGGGCGAACTCCAACAAGCGACGACGATGATGACGACGATGACCTGATTGAGATCAGCGAGCCTGGCATTCCTTCTATGAAACAAGAATCAATGTCTACAAACATCATGCTGGAGCGAACTCCGGCGCAGTCCAAGTCTCGAGAAGCATCGACTCCATCCTCAGCGGCTCGCTTATCAAGTAAGAAGCGCCCTGCAGCCCAGGTCATCGATCTCACTGGCAGTGACGACGACGATGATGAATCGCCCGCCCCTCCCGTGAAACGTCCAGCCTTGAACTTTGGTGTTCGCGGGATAGCACCGCATGATTCTCACACGCCAGTGGCTAACAGCCCCCTGAACAATCGAGCTTATCCACCTCCTCCGTTCTAGGGGAGTTCATCGCGGGATCTTGGTTCACTGAATTTACGTATTCTTTTGTTTCCTGGCTCCTATCTGTCTTGGAGTTGGGCCTTCTTCTTTTCCCTTATTCTTTTGTCTTTGTTGATCCCCCCATTTCCCCTTATGTCTCTCACAATTGCATCTGGCTGTGGTGTTTTGGGCGTATCCCTGGTCTTCTTGGGACTTGCAAGCGGGTTTACTTAGGCAGATGTGGCTGTTCGATGCCAGCAATAAAAGCATCTATATCTGGAATTGAACAGGACGAATTTATTGTTAGTAACGATGGATTTGTGAGCTGCTTTATTGGAACAGCATTCTTTTCGGATTTAAGTAACTTTATTGACGTAATCTGCTGAAATATAGAGTACTATTATTTACAGACTTGAATGGTTCTCTAATTATATAGAATGGGTAGACAAAGGTATCCGCATGTCAACACGAGTGGAGAAAGCCGAGCTCTTCTCCAACTCCGCCGGCTTACCACATTAAACCACCTCCCGTACCTCTTCCCCCTCCAACTAACACCGCGACAACCAACGCACTTCAACTTCACCCTCCTCCACGACTTCCGATAGAAATATCCCCCTCCAGCCCACAATGTCCTTCGACGCCTCAGCCTCATTATCCATCTCCGATCCAAACGCCCGCGCCCTGAGCTCCTCATGCTTCGACTTCCTACTCATCGAACTGGTCCCCATGGCCGAACGCCTTGCGAAAGACCTAGCTACACAAGATAATCCCGAAGATGAGGAGGTTCGCGAGTCTACATATTTTCGTCTTGAGTCCCTGGGGTACCGGGTTGGACAGGGTCTTGCGGAGAGGTGTGTGAATGCAATACAATCCACCCCCCCCCCCCGGGGCATGATCTTCCAGGAGTGCGCGAGTACACCGGACTCCTGAAGGAAGAGGAGCCGAGTCCTCCGTTATTTCGAGACCGGCTTGTGGTATATTAAATACTGGATACTGGATGTGTGGACTAACATCAATCAATTGATCCAGATTCTCCCGAGATCGCCCCCGATTTACCGATAACCTGGACGTGATCAAGTTTCTCTGCAAAGACCTGTGGACGGTACTATTCAGGAAACAAATCGATAATTTGAAAACAAACCACCGAGTACGTTCCATGGCCCGCACACCGCAAAGCAACGCTTAAAAGCCGGACTCCTCCCGCGGTCTTTACAACGGTGATCGCGATGCTAATCGGAGCTGGATAGGGAGTCTACGTGTTGACGGATAGCGCATTCCGACCCTTTGCCAGGATGAGTATGGCAGTGCGTGCGGAAGCTATAACGATGGCGCAAGCAGTAAGGGCTCACCCCTCTTCCCTTGATACTGTCACTGTGACTGCGGAAAGCTAACGCACGGTGATTCCAGTACCTATGGTTCCCTTGCGGTATCATCCGAGGCGCTCTCGCCAATTTGGGCATCAATACGACTGTGCAGGCGGAGACGTCCGAGCTTCCAGGGGCAACGTTTCAAATCAAGACGGTGCCCGCTCGGCCTTGAACTTGAATTGGAAATGGAACTAGAAGAGCGAGAGCCGGAGCCAGGAGTACAGGAATAACGTAATGTCCAGGCAGGCCTGGACCACGACTTTGCAGACTAGAGACTTGCATCGCTCCATCGGCATCTTTATGATTCTTTTCCAGGCTGAGCTCTTTTGCCGGCAGGATCCGACAAGAGTTCCGCTCATGTCCAGAATACCTTCTCCATCACGATGGAGAGCCTCTTCGGCCGTGGGCTACGCAGAAAAGAACTCTAAAAAATGGAGGACACAAGGAGTATAAAGGCTTGAACCGAATAATCTTAATTCTTTATGCGCATGGCTTTCATTATCTGTGGAATACCGTGTCGCTCGACTGAGAAATCCTCCATTCATCTCCATTGGTCGTTCATAATCTCATTGCCTCGCACTTAAAGCCTATCTTTCCGCGAGAATCATAATTAGCGAGGCTCTGCAATTTCCGAGGCCAAATAAATTTGGGGGGGCCTGTCGGCGGATATCAAATGCGGTATTGGGGGATGGTCGAATAGCCCCAGTATGGGAATATAATGGGTAAAAACGACTGGAAGGGAATGAGGAGAGGGGAAGAGAGTATTACTTTGGTGGGGGGTTCTTGACAAACTCAACACCCTTCTCGATGTTGGTCTTGAGGCCCTTGATGCAAGCCTCGAGGAGGCTCTTCTCCTTCTCGGTGACACCACCCAGGATGTTGGTGGCCTTCTCGGCACCGTTGGGCTATATGTATCGTGTTAGCAGTTTATTACAATCAATGAGAAACTCTTGGAATCAACTTACGCCAAGCTCAACAGGGGTGGAGAAGAACTCAACGCCAGTGGCCTTGACGATCTCCTCACCACCGGGGACACCGGGCAGGTAGACGTAGGTGGGCTCGACAATGCCCTTCTCGCCCTTGGCGGCCTTGATCACAGCCTCGGCGAAACTGAGAGATGTTAGTGGTAGAACTTTCAAATGCAGAAAAGGGCTGAACTATACCGGAAACCGGCGAAAGCCATGGACAGAGTGGCGGAACCGGCACCGTCCTTGGCCTTGACAACCTCATCACCACCGAACTGAACGCCTATAAAGAAGGTCAATAGCCGCAATTAGACAAACTGGTGAGGTCGTGGTATGAAAGCAGTAGCACTTACGGTTGACAAGAGCGTCATAGCGGTCAGCGGGGATCTGGAAGTCGGGGGAGACCTTGCTGAACAGGGGAACAATGGTCTCGCCGGAGTGACCACCGATGACGGGAACGGTAGCCTTGGAGGGGTCGGACAGACCGGAGAACTCCTGGGTGAAGGTCTCGGCACGAACGACATCCAGAGTGGTAACACCGAACAGGCGCTGGGGGTTGAAGACACCGGCGGCCTTGAGGACCTCGGCGGCAATGGGGACGGTAGAGTTAACGGGGTTGGAGATGACCAGGGTGAAGGCATTGGGGCAGAACTCGGCGATACCCTTGACCAGGTCACGGACAATGCCGGCATTGATCTTGAAGAGGTCGTCACGGGTCATGCCGGGCTTACCTGGAATTGAGAGTGTTAGCAAGTTACGCCCCGCCAGTTTCTGGGACAAAGAGAGGAGGGTACGAACGGGGAATGCCAGCGGGGATGACAACGATGTCAGCGCCAGTGAGGGCGTTCTTCAGGCCATCATCCTTGGGGAGGTAGCCGGTGATTTTCTAGCTGATGGGTCAGCAATGGTGACTTTCTTGGCAAGATGCTATCTTGTCGCGAAGTATAGAGAAGAGTCCATAGGGATTGAATCTGATACAGGGCGAATAGAAAAGGATCTTGTCACGTACGGCAACGGAGGAGATGTGAGACAGGTCAGCGGCGACACCGGGAGTGTTGACGACATCGTAGAGGGCAAGCTCGTCAACCAGAGGGGAAGCCTTGAGCAGGAGAGAGAGGGGCTGAAGGAAAGAGACGGACAATGGTTAGCAGACAAGCTTCGACATTGATCTAAATCTTGTTGGGGAAGGGCTTTTACCTGGCCAATACCGCCAGAGGCACCAAGAACAACTGCGCGCAATCCGGTTAGTTAGTCAATGGGGTCGAGAAGCTAGCTGGGAACAGCATGGACATGATGATTCATGACATACCAGCCTTGACCATGATGTGAGATGGGATATGAAAGAAGAAGATGGGAGTAGAGCAAGAGGGGAGTTGATGGGGGGGGAAGGAGAGAGGCGGAGAGGAAGGAGGGGATCGGGTTATTTATTTGACTCGTTCCGGACGAGGAGGAGGGGCGGTTGCCCCTCAATCAACCCCGGAGTTGCCCATCGGTCCCTTCACAAGCTAAAAACTGAAAGCTCCGATGACGAATTTACAGTCCAGACTGGAGATTGTTTGAGTATAGATCTTGTTTCTGATGCTATATAATAATATTTAGACTTGATGATGTTTAATAGTGACTTTTCACTATGATTGTACTGTATATATTCATCTTATCAAAGGGTACACCTTGTATACTCCCCCACCAAAGACATGTGCTACTCGGTACTTCTTATAGAAATGTACTGAGTACCTTAAGTATCTACCTATCTACTATTAAATACTTTCTATATCACTATATCATTTCCTCTCCTCTATTTTTGAAAACTGCATGATCAGCAATTACCAATCCAACGTCTCAACAATATTCCAACTAGCGGCTCTCGCTTTTTTACTGAATTGGGCTGCCCGGTCTGCAAGTCTCCGCAATTCATAGTCAACTGATGGTCAGGAGGTACAACGCGGACTACTCTGGTCCCTACGGGTAACTGTGGTACACCCTAGGTTCCAAATGTGCCTAATTACTTAGTCCTACTCTTTGATCCAATGGAACCGGCATTAGTAGTGATCAAGTTGACGTTCTTGGATATAGTCATACATAGTAGTAGTCCATTATGTCAAGGGAATACTCTTCCTACTCTACTTAGTATACTCGTACTATATCCTGCACTCTCCCTCTTGTCAAGGTCTCCATCAGTATATCTATCGCTTATTCAACCAGTATAGTTAACTATAATACTATACATAGTGTTCCCCAATCCAGTCCTAATAACCTGTTCTCCGCACTAGTCTACTCTCCATCCTAGGGCAACAATTCCCGGTCCATCTTCCGACCTTCGCTCCCCAGCCCTTTCGTTTTCTTTTCGGTCGCGGCAACTGTCCTTAACAAAGTCTCGGCTATTGTCCCATCATGCCCGTGATTCTCGGAAACCATTTGCAAGGGTTCCATTCGCCGTCGGGAAAAGGCGGAATCATCAAAGGGTCTCCAATTCCACGGCAAACGACATCATTCCAGTACAGTAGTAAGTGGGACTATTTTGGTGGTCTCGTTCTCTCTCTCCCCCCACGATATCCACCCAATCCCGGGTCTTGATTCTCAAATCTGGATGACGAGTCCAGATCACTGCTAACCATCCAGGGCCCGAGGCTGATCTTCCATTCGGCCCGACGAATCGGCTGCCAGTCAGTTGAACTCCCTACTACACCCGCACCAAAGCTGATGATCATTTTTCCGTTATCTCCGGAATCATGGAATACCTATGTTAGAAGCACTTTTCTTCCTTTATCGTTGAAATTCTTGTTTTCTTTAAACCAACCGGGGTCGGGCAACTTAAACCCCCCGGAAAGCAAAAAGGTATATTTTGCTAGATTACATGGACAGGTTATTCTCCAATCATGTTTTCCAGCACCGGCGCGCGCACGGTTTTAAATCTTTTCAGATGCCCGAATCCGATCCCACCTAAGATGCGCGTTCGCCCCCTCATCGTTTTGACTTCCCTTTCCCTATCTCCGTCCGTGAAGATATATTTACTCGGAGGCCTCGGTGGCCTTGCGGGCCTGGGCACCACGGGGCTTGGAGGCGGGGGTGTCCTTCTTGGGCTGCTGGGAGCGGCGGAGGGCGCTCACACGAGCAACGGCCTCCTCGCGGACATCAGCGCGGTAGCCGTGCTGGGCGGTCTTGCTGGCAACACCCTTGTAGATCCTATATAAACATTCGGGTCAGTACGATTTCCTTGTCTTTTCGCGCAAGCTCTTGTATAAACCGATTTTCCAATCCATGCGCAATGTCGCAGGCGATGTAGAATAGAAAAATGTAACGGTTCGCTAGCTTGGCGCGAAAGAGGGGAAATGTGAGGCCTTCTTACTTGCGGGTGGCGGTCTTGGAGCCGTAGGTGACGGAGACCTGGTTCTGGGCGGGCTGCTGGGGGTTGCCGGGCTTCTTGGTGATGACGGTGACGGCACCGTTCTCAGCGGACTGGACACCGACGGCCTATAAGAGATTCGAAGAAATGGTGAGCTAGTAATCTTTGTCGAGTTCCCGGTTCGAGAATTGTGTATTCAAGAATGAGGCGATAGAGCGCAATGGAGAGAAATTGGATATATACCTTGTTGTTGGCGTAACCGGCGTACTATAAGAACCCCTCCGTTAGCTTTCGCGTCACTCGATCATTTGCCAGCGGGGTTTCCAGGCTTAAGAATCTTCATAGATTCAATTGCACTATCATACCTTGAAGGAGTGCTTGTTGACCAGGTTCAGGGGGTCACGGGAGAACTGGGAGCCACCAGCGGTGTTGCGGCGAACCAGATAAGCATTCTGGTTACCTATGATGCCACAGCTGTCAGCCACGGGGCTCGCAAAAAACAAAAATTCGATTAGGCGGAAATTTTTGAAGACGTACGGGTGATCTGCCAGATCAGGTCGTTGGAGACGTTAGCGCGCTGGACGGACATGGTGACGGGTATGCTTGATTCGGTGGAATAAGATCGTGAATCTCCTTCTGGCAGTGGTCGGAGACGTCTTGTGTGATGGAATTCTCGACTCGGGCGCCTCGCTAAGCAGGCCGCTTTGGGAATAGTGCCCGTAGTGATGCCTGGATGCCTTAAGGTTGGTAGGACCTTGCTTTTCTTATCTAATCGGAGCTGCATTCCAGTTTTGATGCCTTACAGCCCATTCTCTCAGGCATCTTAAACCTTTCCTCATTCGGCCAGTTTGGGCGTCGCGGATGACGACTCCCCTTCGAGTGCTCCGCCTCACTCTTCATTGTTGCGACCTTGTGCAACGCCTGGCTTCGGGAAGCCTTTCGATCGGCCTGCCCTCAAGCTCTATCAAACATTTCGAACACTTTGTGTGTTCTGTCCATCATGACTTATTTCCTTTTCTACTCTCTTATAATCTCCGTCATCATCGCGGGAACAGGTAAGTCGTGAATCCCTCCCCGATACGGGTTCGTCGGATCTACTACCATGAATGAAGGCTGACCAGACATTTCAGCGCTCTACCTCACGCGGTCAAGATGGATCCATCTACTGCCAGTCCCTGATTACCTCTACCATCGCCTTCCCTCTAGCTTCACGGGCGACTTGGAGGCCGGCTTCAGTTCCTCGCAATTCGACATCACGGCTAATGTTGCAGACGGGGACACTCGGGCTGGATTGGATCAAGCAGCAAAACGGGAAATTCAAAAGATCATGAGAGCCCAAAAGGTCAACTTTGACGAGGCCCGCCGAATCTACACCGAACAACGATTCGCGAGTAATAATATTGGCCCTGATGGTCGACCCCGGGACCCCAAATTTGTCTCGTTCTCATGATCCCACGCCCAAGCGCATAGTTCTTTCGTTCTAGTCTCTCTTTTTTCTCTCTCCCATTTCCTTCGTCGGTTTCTGTTGACCTTTGGAAGTTCCTTCTTTTTGCACCTCTACCGTGTGCTTCTCCGGCCAAATCGTGATGACAGCACCACGTCTACCATGCTAGTCGTAATTCCTTTCATCTGAAACATTACATTACTCTACTTGTTCAAAGTACCTCCACAAATGTCTTCCTATCATATCTCATTTGATTGGTCAAGGGGTGGCCTCGCAAGGGAATTGGCTAGAGCATCGGCTGGCGTCAAGGACGCCGCTTCCCTATGTCTGTTCATGGCGGAGGAATCTGCTGGAAACCCCCAGAGTCATATATTCCCATAGATCATTCAATGTGATCCAGACTCCAACGTGTGGTCATCCTAGTCGTCACCACCTTAGCCGAGGCATGCTGTGTATAAGTGATCCGCTGAGATTTGAGGCCGCAGCTCCCCTGTTTACTTTTAGATCGTAGCATGCACAAGTTTCTTTCGCGGCAAAGTCATCAATCTGATATACGGCCATGTGTTGCATTCCAAATGTCGCCTATGTTTGCTCAACGACCAGTTCCGTATCCCGGCTGCTGGAATCCAGGAGGTAACGACGGAGGTGCTCCCGGGGCCGCGGGGGCCCCCGTTGGAGGTGCAAAGCCAGGAGGACCAAAACCTGGCGGTGGGGCCGCCGCTTGTGGAGGATAAGAAGGTTGTTGGCCTGCACCGTTGAATCCTGGTGGGAGGAAGGTCTGGGGGCCGCCATACCCGGCCTGAGATGGCGGAGGACGAGCTGGGAGACCTGGCGGGGGAGTGGTGAGTGACGAAGGAGGAGGAGGTCCCGGTCGGCCCTGCTGAGAAGGAGGGGGTACGTTCTGATAGTTCATGGGGATTGGCATGGGGCCCCTGCCCATACCGAGGTCAGGCGTCTGCGGACCGGTGCTCACAGGACGTGAAGCATCACCATTTGGTATAGCGGTAGGTGTAGCAGCAGGACCAGTACCCGCTCCTGGGAATTGAGTAGGTGTAACCTGCTGTGTTGGTGGGCGAACATTATGTTTCCGAGCCTGCGCGGCCAGCGTTCTCTCGGCCTCGTCACCATGTCTCTCTCCCTTGCCATCTTTTTTGTAGGCATATTGCACGGAAACTTGCTTATTCATGAGGTATTGGCCGTTCATGTTGGTAATGGCTGCGTCGGAGGACTCGAAATCGGCAAAGGAGACGAATCCATAACCCTTGGACAGATTGTTGTCATCCCGAGCAATCTAGAAGTAAATTAGCTCTTGTTGGTTTCTCACAGTCCAGACACAAGGGGCACTGACCTTGGGAAGATTGACCAAGCTGCCAAAGCGACTGAATGTGTCGTATAGAACTTGTTCCGAAACCATGGGGTCGAGATTTCCGACAAAGAGCTCTGCTCCGATTTCCACTGATTTTTGCTTATCTGCGGAGGCCTTGTTCACCCGAATCGGCTTTCCATAGAGGCGAATGCCGTTCATGATTCTCGAGGCATACTCGGCATCTTCTTCACTGATATACTCCACGAAACCATATCCTTGGTGTGACTGCGTGACTCGATCTTTAGGGAGGTGGACGTTCACGATGCGCCCAGCTTGCAACATGAGCTCCCATACCAAGCTATCGGAAGCCCGCTCATCCAAGTTGCCGATGTAGACCGTGGCCTCTTTGTCTTGCTCCCTAGGTTTCTACTGTCAGTACGAAGGATACTTCAATGGGAGGGCATGGGTTGGGGTAGGATAGAAGATCTTACCAGTGTCTTGCGCCAGACATATCAGCGACGACGCCACTTACGGCGAGAGACAAATTCGAATTTCAAACTGAACGATCGCGAGCGCAGGAAAAGAAAGCAATCGAGTTGTAATTTTGTTTTGAATTGGCTGCCGGTGGTAGAGTAGAGAACGTGGTGCGTTTGGTTGAAAGGGAGGTTTGGCGGATGGAAGCGCGGCAGTGATCTCGGTGGTCATTTGGATTTCCCGACCTCCGAAAACTTTTGAGCCAACTTCTCGCGGCTCCCGCATTTCTCGAACCTCCTCCGCTTTCCACCTTCGACCCTTCAACCCATTCCCATCTCCGGATTCCCAACCGTCTATCGAGATTCTTCACGTCTAGTGCCTACGACTATTCCTTTCGTCTCTCGAACTCTCCTCCTCTTTTCTAAACCCTCTATTCCTTCCCGGACTGCTATTCATCATGGTTCAATTCTCCGAAGAGACCAAGGTAAGCCTCCATTCCGATATCCACACGATCCTCATTACATGACCACTAATTCGGTATTTTCTCTTTCTACAGGAGCGCGTTTCCAAGGTCATCGATATCTCTCGCGTTGCGATCCACTAGTGAGAGGCCCCCTGCCTGCCCGCATCATCAACCATCCTTTCGATGCCCTTTCCATATACAACCGAGCTGACACTTTCGGATCTGATAGCGGTTACTTGCCTCTGATCGTCTACCTTGGTATGTCGGAACCAGTGATCTTTTCCGGAGAAACGATCAGATGATTAATGCGCAATGAACAGGTTACTCCTACAGCGAGCCTAAGCCGTCTCTTTTCAAGTAGGTCGCAAGTTTACTGTCTCTCGGCAGCTCCATCTAACTTGAGTGATCAGGCTTTTCTCGCCTCTGGCATAAGCGTCGCGTTGTAGCGCATTCTACCGGCACTAGAATGACCATTAGCCGGCAATATTGAGGGATCCACGACAGTCCAGCTAATTGGCCTCTTCTCTCACGTTTCGCTCGCCCTACAATGAAGCCCAACAACCCCTTTATTCGGGTAGCGTTTTAGATCATGCCTCGGTGGCTCAATATGTGGGGGGGGGGGCGAGCTGTACAATCTACCCTTGAGTCTATGATATGTATTTTTAAATGGAAAATTGGATGTTAATTGATTTTGGGTTGCAATTCCTTGCCTTGGTATGGTGGGCCACTACCTAAAGAGACTTAAGATATGTCACTTGCCATAACCAGCATAATCATCATGATCCTTTGTATAATAAGCAGAGCGTAGACTCCACCATATCCTCTCCTGTAATCCGTGATTTATGACCCGTGACTCCCCAATAACAAAGATGACGGCATTCTGCCGCGGTTCTCCGATATCGTCTGGAATCATATTATATTCTTCAGTCATCCAGCGGTTAAAATCACTTCAACCCTTGCAACAACCATCACAAGTACATATTCACGTTCACCAACATTTTGTTGAAATTCCAGCCCAGGGTTCATGACTGGCAAGGATGGGTTGTCTTCATCAGTCGTGGAGACCGTAGCGGGATTCACAGCAGGTGTTGCCTCGACACTCTGTGTACACCCTCTTGACCTAGTGAAGACCCGCCTTCAAGGTACGCTGATGACATGAGGTCTCTCCCATGGCCCCCTCTTGACTCTGTTTTTCAGTTCAAATATCCTGATGCCATGATTTGACTAATTTGACCTGCTCAGTCGACCGATCATCCCCCTCCCGTCTTGGCAACTCTTTACGGATTATCCGTGAGATTTCCACGCACGAGGGCGGTCTCCGTGCCTTCTATCGTGGTCTGGCTCCTAATCTGATTGGAAACTCGACGAGCTGGGCGCTGTATTTTCTCTGCTATGGCAGTCTCAAGGACGCCATCCGCATTTACCGAGGACGGGAAGATTGGATGCTCACATCTTCTGACTATTTTCTTGCCTCTAGCGCAGCAGGTCCGTATCCATTGGCAGGAACACTTTGACCTTCCGACCTCTGACTAAATTATTCTAGGAGCCTTAACATCCATTCTTACCAACCCTATCTGGGTCATCAAAACCCGGATGCTCGCAAGTGGTGCCCAATCGCCCGGAGCTTACCCTTCGTTCATGTCTGGTGTGAGGCAAATTTACCGCACTGACGGCATGCGTGGCTTTTACCGTGGACTGATCCCCTCATTGTTCGGTGTCAGCCACGGCGCTTTCCAGTTCATGGCCTACGAAAGGCTGAAGGTCTTCCGTTCCCAGGCACTACATAGAGAATCCTCAACGGAGCTGCATGATGCCATGGTGACCAAAAACCTTGGAAACCTGGATTTCCTGGTTCTCTCCGGTCTGTCCAAGGTTTTTGCCGGGTGTGTGACTTACCCATATCAAGTCATCAGATCACGACTACAAACCTACGAAGCCCACATCTTATACCGTGGGGTTCTGGACGCGATGGGTCAGATTTGGGCAAAAGAAGGTATTGCAGGGTTCTACAAGGGACTCGGTCCGAATTTGCTTCGAGTTTTGCCGAGTACCTGGGTCACATTCCTTGTTTACGAGAACACAAAGCTCTTTATGCCCAAGCTCGCAGAGAGTGTGTAGTTCCAATACAGATACCCTGCCTACCTTGGTCTTTTATTATTGTTCGACATTTAAACTGATCCCGTAGTTGTTCCGGGACTTCGAGATTTCGGAACATAAAAAACACACAGCGGATCAACCACCGGCCCTGAAACAACTAGTCTGCCTAAAACTTAACTCATTTAGCCCGGAAATATTCGCAAACTCCTTGCGACTTCCTGGTCTACATGCACGAAGATGTTAAGGACACAAAATCTAGGATAGGAACGAGCCCTTTCACCACTAGTGACTTCTCCGCTGTTGGTTCCATAAGTAAAGGCCTTTTGGGACCGAACACAGGTATCCCTGCACGGAATAAGCAATTTTATATAGAGTCTCTTCGATCCCGAATCAGATCTCTCGATTAGTAGCACCAAGTAAATCATAAGTAAATCATAAGTAGATAGTCACAGTCATCGGGACAAATTCACGGTAATATCGTAATTCCAGTGATCGGCTAGTACCTGTCTATGTCGTGCGTAGTCTCAGCCACAATTAATGGAACAACGCCCTGACAAGACCGTCAGTCTTCTTTAGTCCCGGTTCGAATTCAAGAGTAGCGAGCGGCAGTCAAATACTGCCGGGAGCTTTGAAGACTTTTTAGCTGTTCTATTAGATAGAGACGAGAAGGCTCACATGTTCAAGAACAAGCGTCACTACCAATTTATACAGGAAGCGCACTTAACAGTACCTGCTTGCCCTTCTGTGAACGACTATTTCCTACCCAGCTCGGCTATTTCTTCTGGAACTTTAGTATTACCGAGAATAACTCTACTTGTGGATTCTAGATCTAATCCGTATGTAGGTCGAACGTTGTTGAATAGCGATATATCACTGGATTGCCTATATGGGAACAAGAACCCTGTATACCTCCACCCTGGAGATGTCAGCCACGAATAAGCGCCACCTAACTATCTCTTGCCCCTCCCCCATCTAAGTTCGGTGACCTGTTTGCAGAGATTATGGGTTATAATTAAGGATTTTAGCCAATGAGCGACCCGGCCGCATTAGCGCCAAAATCCCCCTACCATAAAGTGTCCCAGAATATGGTGCTTTCTAGGGCGGCTCCCTAAGGAGGACGAATGTTTTGGGGGTTTGGCGGGATCACGCGAAATTCCAGGGGTATGATCCAAATAAGTATGCTCGCGGTCTTGACAAGGCTACGGAGAGACTGAGAAGATATCACAGCGTATCTATACGCCATGCATTCACATGATATGTCGTCCCCTGGGAGGTAAGATTCCAGCCAAGCCACAGAGCCAGCGTGGCTTTGGTTTCGATGTCTTTACATGCATGATGTCCGATTGCCCCCCACCCACCCCCTCCCTGGCCGTACTTACACCCACCTACTAACATGCGTATCCTCTACAGTATCCTTCATCGAAGTAACTTAAAGAGAAATTAGACGCAAGTTTAGGATTGATGACATTCAAAAAAATGAAGCGCGTTAAATGCCTTCATCCATCTTCCCAAACACCTAGCCCCGAGGCTAGTGCCTGGCACCTACCAGCAGAATTGAATCGGATATCACAACCCTAGCTGCAATCTGTCAAGTCAGGCAGCCACAACGTGCTCCCTTAGAGACAAGTGTTGATGGAGAGGTGAACTATGCGGAAAGCTCAGGTGACGAGCAAATGGATGGTGATCAACAGCCCTCGACGAGCATTGCCGCTTCTTTGACGGAGGAGGGTACGAAGTCGGTTAAAATGCGGTTTCTCGATCGACTGACTGAGATACTCTGCTACAAGAAGGAAGCGCACTATGTAACTTGTACAGCTATACAGGAGGCAACTGACGAGGTTAAATATTCTAGCAGTGAGGAATGCTAGATGGGGGGAAAGGGACACAAAGCTCCTAGAAGAGATGGCGAGGCAGCTGGAACCAGTTGCAAACAGAGGTACGCTTTGAATGTTTATTGACGAGTATCAATCTATTCTCCCAAGTCTAAATTATAATCAATACCAGAATCTGTTGACATGGAGTCTTTACCGGACCTCTAAGTAATGCTCAGCGAATACTATACTCCGCGCCTTAATTATCATGCATCATAGCTCCTCGCTCTGATAGAAAAAAAAGAAAGAAATGCAGAAATTGGCTGCATGTTTAAAGGCATATCGCTTAGGAGGAATCTCTTCAAAAATCCTAGTGGAAATTATCGACGATATTTGCTGCAACATAACTTTGTACTCTGAAATCAATCAACTCTTCACAGTAAAGCAGGTCAAACGACTAGTCCAGGAGCTGGGCTTTCTTTGTCACCCTAGATGTGCCTACACTGCCTTTCTGGAAGCAGCGCGCGAGCTCGAAGGTTTTCAGAGCCTGAAGATTACGCTCGTCCCTGGAGCCAAGGCAAAGCAGGTTCCACCGAGCATATCGTTGTGTCCTCAATTGTTTAAAAAAGCGAACACAAAAAATCTGGAATTGGAACTCCGAAAGAATAAATGTGTCCACGCTGATATTGGAATGGTTACCTATCTAATCATCAAGGACAGTGTGGCTCGAACTTTTCCATATCTCGGTATCAGCAAAAAGACATGTTTTATGTGTGCCCACATTCTGCAGAGCCTGGATCTCTTTTAACCGCGTAACAATCATGGGAAAGTTTATTCCCAATGGACGTTACCCAGCTCTCTGGTTACCCCGTCCTTACATCAAGGCAAGCTAGATCGTGCAGTTCGAAACCTCCGCGATGTGCTGCATCGTGAGTTTGTGGTGGATGATGACCAACATATCGATGCGGTCAAGGAGTTAACTATTACAACTCCAGTGGCGCCGAAAACGACGAAATGGTCCCCATTTAATCGTCATATCCCAGATCTCAGATCCCAGGCAAGACAAGCGGAATGGTTGTCAACCTGCAGCTCAAGAGCAATGGCTGATAGGTACGAGACTTAGGCTTTTATACTGGCAGATACTAATCTCGGCTATAGAACCAACCAAATTCAAGCAAATATTCCTGACAATTCGCTTTTTTCTGAAGGTGACGAGACACAAACGCTAGAGTCAATCGGTCCCCAGCTGACATCCAAGTTTTGCGCCCAATGTCATACCACAATAGATCCACTGACTCCCTGCTCAAAATTTGACACGTCATTGTACTGCAGCAGAATGTGCCAAAGGCTGCACTGGTTAAAGCACAAGTATTCCTGTATCGGAAGACCCTTAGACGAGGTGGACGACTTCATTCTGGCATGCCAACGAAAAGCGTTTCCAACAGATGATCTTGTGACAGCGGCCTCTGGCTTCCAATACTTTGCATCCGGCGACGACCGAAAAAGAATTTTCCATATATATTGCCAGCTAGTGAATAGCTATGGAGTCACAGAAGATGAGCTTCGAGATGCATGGCGAAGCAACAAACTGAAAGAGTTTCTCCTCTTCCGTGGCTCCCAAATACCTTCTCCAACACTTCGGCGAGGAATGCGTTGGTTAAATCAGCATGATGGCTTCGGCACCGGCGCAGTACATAGTTTATGCGAGGATTTTAAATCGCGACTGCATTTAGTCGAGCCAAGAGATCGCAAAATTCCATTCGCTCAGTGGAAGCCGCGAGAGAAACTGGAGGCATACGCGTTCTTCTATCAAATTCTGAATGGATTCGTTCCAGACACAGGCGAAGACAACTGGATTTTCCTTGGCTTCTGCACAGCTCGAGATCACGATGGTGTTGCAATGCTAGCAAAACTCTATAGGGTATACTTATCGGCAGGTGCAAATTTCGAGAGTTTTGGGAGGCCATGGAACAGTCTAATATGGTCGGTCTGTTCAACAAGTACGGCCTTGGGCACGCCATCGAGGAACTGCGTAATTTCGGAACCCTCGTGAACGCCGTGGGAACCTGGCACCAGAGTGTTTGGGAATCAAAGCGCTTTACTCGACTGCCGACTGCAGAATCGATGCAAGCTGTCGCTTTGGATTACGGGTTCTACAATTGTCAGACACCGTAGGAGCGAATGGCTCTTCGACAAGTGTACGTGGAATTCTTCACACGGGGTGCAGACGAGATGGAACTTCATCAGGCCTGCATAAATGGCTAGTTGGCATCCTTCTTGCTGTCAGAGTTGCAGAAGCTTCCTGTTTCGGCTGATCTGCTGTCGAATCCTTATCCTTTAGAACGATGTAATTATATGGGCATGGTAGTTGAAAGTGCAATTCTTTGTTCGGAGTCTAACTACGAGCTTATGAAGAAGGTATACGAGGAAATAGGACAGAAGGGAGTTGTTATATTGTCCTATCCCGATGAGCAAGACGAGGCCCTGAGTGAGGGCAGGATGGAAAGATTATATTTTTTGGGAGGATCAATGAGGATCCGGAAGACCGATATTCAAGGGGTGACTTTGCAAGCGATGGATACGATGTCTCAAATTGTCTAATGACTAATCAATCAACCAATCAATCAATATTCAGGAGCCTGATTTAGCTTCCTTTATATATAGGTACTATACGGGGATTTAGCATCTAGCTTTTCCAGTAGTATAACTAAGCTACTAGCGAAAGGTAGTGATAGATAGGCATGAAAATCCTCTTTAAATTATATCTATTATATAACGGTTATCCTAGTCCTAGCCTAGTCATAAGATAGGTACGACTATAGATATCTAGGCATAGGCCGGTTCAGTACCTAATAAAAGGGGGGAAAAACAACTATCTCTTGGCGAAATCGATTTCTTGCGATATCTCCGGATCCAGGGCTTATAAAGCCTTGTAGATACGTCTCGGACTTTAGGCGGTGACCATAAAGTCGTGGTTATACACACAAGAAGATAGTGTGTACAAAGGTAGCTAAATACTCAATGTGGTGTCTGAATACACGGTTATGAGTCTATCGGTCGTGCGCACTTCTTAGAAAGAAGAAGAAGTACCACGATTGTGGAAGAGTACCACCGATCTAGAAGAGAGATCAAAAGGGATGATAAACTTGATTCAATTTAGCTAGGAAACATAGCAGTATTTATATCTTAGAAACATGGTAAAAGATCACATGAAACATCAAGAGATTGGAGTGTTAAATAGTCTCCTGCCTAATTAGGTAATTCAATGCAAGATCGTTGAAGATCAATCTGATAGATCTTATAGAGAAGATCTAGATGTAGAGAGGGGTTATATGAGTGGGTCCTTCGTCATATGACCCCATAATATCCATATGTTGACAATATATTTAAATTATATATAACCTCACGCCCCGCCGCCCTACACCGGTTTTAACCGCGAGCGACCGTGATAGCGGTGGTGGTTAAGCTAAATAGTATTCCGCTACCCTAAAACTGAGTTTTCTATCGTATAGATTCTGTGCTAAGACCCCGTAACTTAGGGAAACACTAATAGACGCGGGCCTAAACTAATAACTAAAATAGAGCTAGCTAATAAGGCTAGAAGGAATTAACTAGTATAGACGATATCGCTAAGGCTACCTAGTCCGTTCTCGAGTATATCGAGGCTAATAACTATAAAGCTAATAGTATAGTAAAGGGATTCGTGTGAAACGTTAAGAAATTTACCTAGAAAGCCTATAGAGGTAACGCTAGTAATATAAGTAAAGTACTTATAGCCCTCGTGTCAATATATGGATGTTATGGGGTCATATGACAAAGACCCACTACCCCTCATTGCTTCTAGATCTTCTCTATAAGATCTACCAGATTGATCTTCAACGATCTCGCATTGAATTGCCTACCTAGGCAGGAGACTATTCAACACTCAACTTTCTTATTGTATTATGTGATCTTTTACTATGTTTCCTAAGATATAAATACTGTCATGTTTCCTAGTTACATTGAATCAAGTTTATCATCCCTTTTGATCTCTCTTCTAGATCGGTGGTACTCTTCCATAATCGTGGTACTTCTTTCTAAGAAGTGCGCACGACCGATAGACTCATAACTGTGTATTCAGACACCACATTAAGTATTTACCTACCTATGTACGGAGGTCCATCCAAAAAGTAATGTATAGCGCACGTACCACCATTTAATTACATTCACGTACTACATAGTATAATTTACCGGCCCTCCTTATATTCGTTCCCCCCTTCTAATTCAATGATCTTCTTAATATAAGTAGGGATACTCTCTATCTAGGCCTGAATATTTTCCTACGGAAGATCTCGCTAGGTTTAGTTCTATATAGTAATAGCCTCCTATCTAGACTTAGGTACTCCCTTTCTAGTAGTCCTTCGCTTTATCTAAGGCTATATAGGCTTAATTGTATTAAGGTTAGGCGAATTTAGATACTAAAGTAATCGCTATACTCTAGCTACATCGAATACTCGCTATTAAATATAGTGGTTATACACTAGAGCTTTATCTTCCTATACGATCGTCTTTAGTCGCTAAATAGTGTATTCCTTAGTAAAAGGAAGAAGCTTTAGTATAAGAATTATCTTTTAGTAGCGATACTAGTTAATCCCGCTCTTAGATCCTCGTGAAAGCTTACTATTTTACTTATTAAATTTCTACGTAGGCGTTCTACTAGTAGGCTACCGACGAAGATTAATCCGTCGTACGCTAGTCTTAAGCTCCTACTACTTGTGTAGAATAGGTTTAATCTCTTAATTAAGAGCTTTAATCTCTTACTCTACTTTACGTTTCTATATAGTAGTTTTAGGGCACTAGTAATAATAAGGGCCCTTTTTATCGTAGATAAAATAGCCCTAAAATATAAATTAAGAAGAATCTTTCTAACGCTCACGAATACACGAGCGTAGAAAAGCTTTATCCTTAGAGCGCTAAATATAATAACCGCTATAATAATATAAAAGAATTACCGATATCTTATTAGAGAAAATTATATTCTTCTAATCCTTAAGAGTCTAGTACTCGTGAGCTAGGCACTAAGCTAAGCGCTTAGCTCGTATCTTCTTCGTTAGTCTAGGCTTCCTCGTTAGCTTTATTTTACGTAAACTAGCCTTCCTAAGGATAGTCTATATAGTAGAGGATAATATTTCTATTCCTTCCTAGCTAAGCTCCCTAGTAAGATTAGCGTATATTTTCTCTCGACTAAAGTAATTAAGGCGTACCTTCGATAGGATAGTCTTAATAGTCTTAGGATCTTACTTAGTTAGCCGACTAGAGCGAGGTATATCTTATACGTATTTATTAGAGATCTTTATATAAGTCGGATCGAAACCGCGTTCGATTACACGCGTATATATACGATTAACAGTATTAATTAATAGATCTACTATCTTCGCAATCTTAGCAGACGTTTTCGTTATATACGCTCTTAATGTAACGATAGTCACACGATTAGTAAGGGTTGATTGTTTTGGTATAGTGGTAGATATAGGTAGTAGTGGGTAGTGGTAGGAGAGAGATAATTAAAGAAGATTAATCTAGTAGGAGGATTATGTGTATTCGCTTAGTAAAGCGCTAGTGGTAAAATAATGGTGGTGCGTGCGCTGTGTATTACTTTTTGGATGGACCTCCGTACACACTATCTTCTTGTGTGTATTACTACGACTTTATGGTCACCGCCTAAAGTCCGATACTTAACTAAAGTACTATAACCGCGTAGGGTGAAGATTGACTGACTAAGATAGGGCGTACTGGTAGAAGAAATACCGAGGATTTCTGTCCTTATTTAATAAAGATATCAAACTTAATTCAATTCAACTAGGAAATATAACAGTGTTTATATCTCAGAAACATGATAAAAGATCACATGAAGTATTAAGAGTATCTTGGAGTGTTATATAGTCTCCTACCTAAGTAGGTAATTTAATATAAGATTATTAAGGATCAATCTAATGCAGGGTAAGGGTGGGGCACTACCTATATATGCTGACAAAGTATATAAATACTAGCTAGCTAGAGGTCTTTAGTCCTAGTATAACTATATAAGTATCTACCTAGGGGATAGTCGTTCGCGGTATCCCTATTAGCGTAGTCGGTATAAAGGGGTTAGTACTATTAAACCAGGAAGAGATTAGTAAGCTTTCTAATAAGCTTATCTTACTAAATCCTACGTAGTCTATTAAAGGGCTACTACCAGCGAAGATTTACTACCTTTCCTAGCTAGTAAAATCAACCGGTTCGAAGAGGATAGGATTAGTAGTATTAGAGTTTACTACTCTAGTTACTACGAATCGTGCTAGTAGGGTTAGTATCCTCTAGGCGTACTAGTCTCTCGAAGCAGTACGATTTTATAGAGAAGGACGGTCGAAATTCTGTCGTAAGTATTAGAAACTAGGACACGTCTATTCCTACTATCTCGAGTAATAACATTTATATAGTTTCTACGACGGTAAATACCCGATCTAGGAGTGTCCTGTTAGCGGCGATCGTTAATAAGCTAAGTACGCTAACTACGGTAGTAGCTATCGCGTATTAACGTAATTACCGCCCGTTCCGAACATCCTCTCCATTAAAAAAAATTCAAGATCGCCTATCTTAACTAGCACCTATTAATTAAACTAGATATAGCGATTTTTATATACATTAATCCTATGACCAATCTCCCTATATCCACTACACCTAGGCGGAGCCCTAGCTGTAGGCCTAATTAGCTGACTAGGTAATTCAACCTCTGTATACGAATCTACCCTATCATCTTCCTCTAGCTAGTTTAGCTACGTAGCTAGCTATATAGCCTCTTTAATAGTTAAACCCTCTTCGTAGGGTATCTTCTTAGTTGACCGATTACGCTTTTTGACTATCTTCTTATTCGCTATACGTAAATTCGCGTTATCCTCTACTAGTAGTGCACTACTATAAAGCGCTAGGTAGGTACCCTTAATAAGCTAGTCTAGGATAGGTTTTGTCGGACTTTAGGCGGTGACCATAAAGTCGTGGATCTTGACAGTACGTACTAGCGAAAGTACCACGGTCGCGTAGGGTTGATCGTGCGTACTAACTTAGCACTACGATCGCGTAGGATGATCGTGCGTACTAGTTAAAGCACTATAATCGTGTAGGTAAAGATTGACCGACTAAGATAGGGCGTAGTGGCA